CTTTGATGCTAGTTAAGCTATTATGTCTTTAGGTAGCTAGCAAGCTATGATCCTAAAAGATATTATTTTACCTGATCTCGTCCTCAACCTGGGATTTGTCTAGCCTAACCCTTCCCGCATCTAGATGCGAAGCTAATGATGTTCAAACGTGTGTTGCAGTCCCATCCCTACTCGCACGACATGGCGCCTCCCATAGCGGCTTCGGCACAACTAAAACGTGTGCAGGAGCTATTTTCAATCTTGATTGCCCGGATTATGAAGTTTCTAAAGACTTAGTCGTAGCGTTTTTAGGTCATGGTGTGAGTGGTATTGAAATGCGTGAAGTGGCTTCTCCAGGCGAAGCAAGCGATCTCGAAGTATGTGGAGCTGTTGTCTTTGATGCCTACTGTCGAGATCTGCTTGCAACATCCCAAGGATTTACCGAAGACGGCTGCTTTCGTACAGGTGACTTGAGAAGGATTGATATCGACGGAAATTTAATGCTGATGGGCCGCCATGAATAAGGATGTTATTAATAGCATGGCGTGGAAATAGCTACGGTTGACTTTCAAGCGTCGCTTGAAGTAGCAGTTAAGGATACCCGCGTGACCCGGATCGCCTGTTTCTCATCTCGAACTCCTGGAGCTTCTTCAGAGAGAATTGCAATGGTATAAATACCAGAAAAATGGCCATCCAAGGTTGAAGACATAGTCGTAGTTGATAAAATTTGCGTCACTCAGTCTTGGAATTCAGGAGCTACGTACAAGAGATTTTAGTAGGCGAAGGAATAAGTGAAATAGAAGCCCCCCTAAGAAAAGAAGACATTGCGAAGACCAAAGAGATCAATGATCCCGATACCATTGGAGTTGATGCATCCATTTTCGAGCTGGGATTTGCTTCGATGGACATTATTCGCTTGAAAGTACGCGTCGAAGTCCGGTTGGGTGTTACACGCTTATGAAGAATCCTACCGTGCGATCGCTTGTGGCTGCATTGGTAGAGCCAGACTCAGTGCACCATCTGCCTCATACTACAACTTCCATGCTGGACCCCAATGTTGGACAAGCTAGTCTCGTAGATTCATCATTAGTGGCAGGGTATGGCTACGATCCAGTTGTTTTCTTAAACTCCACAGGCACCAAAGCGCCCCTTTGGCTCATTCATCTAGGCGTTGGCGAAATACTAGTTTTTGTCAGGTTGGCCTAACCCCCGAGAAAAGACGATCGCCCAGTATATGCGCTACGGGCTGGCGGATTTGAGCCCGGCTAAAATACATTCGCATCTATTACTGAGACAATTCATGCCTACGTAACAGCAGCTCGCCGGTGGCAACCATAAGGTCCGTATGCCCTAGCGGGTTATAGATACGGTACTATGCTGGCCTTCGAGATGGTCAAAGCATTAAATGATTCCGGAAATGGGGTGGTACAGTTCCTAGGCAGCTTTGATCTTCCGCCGCATATGGTTTACAGAATATGGCAGTCGACTACGAGCCTGCCGACATTTTCCACGCCGAACCCCTTAAGATAACTGCAACATCGCGGAAGGAGTGGGTGCTTAAGCACCTTAGCCGATGGGGAGGCCTTTGTCCGACAGAACCCTGATTCCATAAGGTTCAGGGAGCACACTATACTATGCTTGGGCGGGACCATGTCTCTAGTTTTTCTGACAAGCTACGAGCGGCTTTGGGGGATAGAGGACTATAGAAACATGTTCACTGATAAGGACTTATTTACAATCTTCTCATCATCATCATATTGGTTGGGACCAGTACATGAGCTTCGTATGGTGACGCATCCTTTATTCCAGTTTATGTAGTAACACACTCATCCAAAAGATTCTATACCAGCTTGCAAGCCTTGCCACCGGGATTCGTGACCCCGCAGCCGCTTACTCGGCTCCTGCACTGGAAACTCGACCAATTGACTATAATAGATATATGTTTCACAGATCTAGCAGCTGATGCGGCAGAGGTGATCAACCTGGATACCATTTTAGATATATCGAAAATGTAGAAGGATCAGGTATGGGTTTCTCTAGAATGTCTCAAATATTCGAGTAGGTATTTTTATAGTTCTCATTTCAAATAGAGACGCAAGTATCTTTCAGCTCGGTATGGCCTTGAGTAATTGGTCATGATATTGGTTGTATTGCAGCGTTGTGAGTACTTCGATCGAGATGATGTGGCATTACCAGTTCGTCGATGATATTATTAGGATTGAAAATGGATACAGCTGAACGGCTACTTGTCGACGCCTTATTGCGGCTTTGCGAAAGTTGGTAGATTCTATTGAAGATACCAATGATACCATACACAGATATAGGCATATTGTAAGATAATCCAAAGATATAATTTCTGTGTTTATAGAATCGCCAACAACATTGGAACCCCGTAGGATCCCTAAAATGCAATGATCCAGGTGGGCTCCGACTTGGATATTTTCAAGTTTATGGTCAAGGTAGGCAATCTTAAGACAGTAGAGGAAGTTACTCAGCAGGTAAATTTGGAGCCTTAACCAATAAGTACGAAACAAATCATTATTTAACTAATATATAAGTCAAAGCACCCTTACGGGGGCTATCTTAATAGGGGCTACTTCAAAAATGCAATGTATTTACGATAAGGTTTATATATAAATTATTATATAATTTTATTAGTTTTTAATTAATTAAAAAATAAAATTTATTATTTAAATCTTTATTTTTTTATAATTTTAAAATATTTACTTTTTTAACCTAATTGTGTTATGTTATGGTAATAAATAATATTTTTAACGGTATATTTTTATAATAAGCGTTTAAAAAATATTTTATATTATAATATTATTTTATAAATTAAATATTAAGCTATAGAATATAAAATAATTATTTAGAGGAATGTTAAAAATTATTAAAATATTAAAAAAAGAAATTAGTTAATTAAGTTGTTATATTAAGTTATATTAGTTATATGTTTTTTTTATATCGATTTAAAAATATTGTAAAAAGATTATTAGTTTATAATTATTGATTTAATATTTTCGATAAATATTAATATATATAATTTTTATTTTATTATTTTAATATTAAATTGGTTAAGGCTTATTTAATTAATTATAAACGAATTAATAGGGTTATAATTAATAATATTAATATTTTTTTTAATTGATTTAAGGTTTTTAGGATTAAAAATATTTCGGTTAAGTATATATATAGCGTTAACGAAATAAGGATTATGAAAAGGGTTGGAAATAATGGAATAGTTATTAGTAAGGTTTATAAAAAGTGTATTATGGTTAAAAATTGTGGTAATAAAATTTAAACGTTAATTATTAAGTATATTAATAATAATAGTTAATTTTTAAATTCTTTTATTATATATATAAATAAATACGTATAATAATAATAATTTTTTAATAATAAAAACGTTAAATTTAAGGGTTAAAAATTTATTACGTTTTTTAATAGTTAAATTAATAATAATATTATATTTAAATAGTTTTATAAGGTTTTTTTAAAAGAAACGAAGTTATTAAATTGTTAATAATGGTAATTATTAATTTTTAACAACTACGATAATTATATTATAATAAAATTCTTTTGGGAATATTTTATAAATAAAATTTATGTTATTTTTATTTTAGTATATTTATCGTACGTTTTATAGGTTATTAATATAGATATATTCTTATTAATAAAATAAAATTATTATTATAAATTTATTAAAATATATTAATTATATTATATTTTTAATTTTGGTAAAAGAGAATTTATTATGGTTTATTAAATAGTATAAAAAAAACGTTTAATTAAATATAATATATTGGTTGGTTAAAAAGTTATAGGGATTTATTTTAGGAATTGAAATAAGTTATTAAATTATTGGTTTATATTCTAAAAAGCTTCCGGTATTATTCCAATTCTCTTAAACTTTATTTCTAATCTAAAAAAGTTTAATTTTATCGAAAATATAGTTTTAATTTTTTTAATAACACTTTTAAATTTATAAAATATTAATATTTTAATTAAAGAATTATTTAAAGTTAATATAATGTTTGTTAAATTTATAGTAAGGTTTTTATTTAATAAAATTAATAAGGTTTTTGATAAGGTTATTATGAAATTAGTTATAATAAAAACTTGCGCCGAATATTTAGAAAAGGTATTAGTAAATACGAAATTGTAAAAATGGCGTAAAGTATTATTTAATCTAAATTTGACGTTTATAAATATTAAGGTTATTATAAAAAAAAAGGAGTAGTTAAAAACCTAAGAATTAAGTGGTATAATTATAATTAGTAATTTTAATATTAATTTGGAAAATAAGGCTTTGTTAATTAAATTAATAGTAGAAGATTATATTATTATTAAAATATAATAGATTATAAATTAATTAAATTTAATTTAATTAAATAACGTTAAATTAAAGTTAAGGTATTTATTTTGAAAGTCTAAAAATTTAAGGTGGCCCCTATTAGGGTAGCCCTTGTAAGGGTGCTTTGACTTAATTGTTTAAGCTTTTATCAAACTCGTCGTTACTACACTACGGTCAATATCGTGACGGAAGTGTCTTCGATTGGATACGCACCTACAGATATTACTGAGAATCTTACTTGGAAGGTCATGAAATCAGCTCTAGGAAATTAGGACGTTTGATATTTTATGATATCTTTGCATACCCCCTCGGTGTTGATTTTAACCTAACGTGAAGCTATGGGGCAAGCTGTTAAATGAGTGATTAAGGGACTACTTTCAGACACAGCACATGGTGTATTAGCGTAGAATATATATATAAGAAAGACCTCCCTCCTGACTTATATAGTTGATGGATTAAGTCAATGTACAACATACAGGCCGTATACCGTATCTTTTAGCACGAGCCCTCAATACCAGGTTATGCAACCCTACGTGGTTTGCGTAGAATAAGCAGCGATGTTAGGAGAACCCATTCTCGCAAAGATAATAACTACATAAGGTAGTTTATTGGACTTCTAGGTATAATATTTACGATCAACAGCTACTTGATTTATCATACGAAGGCAGCCTGATTAGATATATATATATATAGAAAATTTAATAGTATGCGGACATTAGATGTTGGCGATTCGGCATGCAGAGTCGCTTCTAACCTGTTTCCGGCCTGTGTAGATCAAGAAAATGTTTGAAGAAGCCACCCTCTGACGAGCCAAACGGCCATGCTGATAAGCATAAGCATAAAACCCCAAGATAAACATCCCGCTGCTATGTGATCCCGGAACGTTTGCGCCGCATCGCCTTTGCTATTGTTATGCGGGAATGGACGATCAGGCACAGGAACGTTCAGGATTTTGCATAGCGGCTCCCACCCTTGGCTGACTTCGTAAAAGAACAGCTTCTCTGGAGGTACGACCTGCCTTAGATGCTCCTCGTGCCTGCGAAGCGTGTCCTCCTCGATCTTATCTTGGTCGTAGCGCCATTTCATAATTTGATGGAAGCGTTCACGCCAAAGTCCGTAAACCTGAGTCTTATGCAGCCATAAGACCACCATAGGGAGATACCACGTCCCCATTAGACTATTCAGATAGTTCATACTCTTCCACCAGGACTTTTCCTCTCTAGTCGTTGCTATTACTATGGCGTCGGGATAGACGTGCATGATTTCAGGAGTGAGAGTCGCAGCGGGGCAGTCCATGGTTGCAACGTAGCCGTCGAGCACCTCCGAGATGAGCCAATCAAGCTTCTTCTGCTCAGAGAACGTCTGCGCCTTCGGAGCGAGCTCCATTATATCGAGCCAAGCTTTTATTTGACAAATTGGGCCCCCAAGGGACTGGATCCCGGAGTCGTGGACGGGGCCATCGAGAAGAATGGTGAGAGCTTCGTTGAAAGTCTTTGTGCCGGTACGTGACCTATATGGAGTCAACGCTGTTTCTTAAGGATCACGACGGTACATGTACACTGCGCTATAATCACTCGGCCCATTTCATGGTCCTAGAGTAAGAGATTATGCAACTCGCTTGGACTTACATTCCAGCACCAATGACGCGAAACTTCGTTCCAGGCGGGCCCGGTAGCGAAGGACCTTGACCCATTATGACGGCTTCAATGACCAATTAGGAGTTCACACGACTCCACACGACTGCGATCTCACTGTCGATATCTCGATGTTCTAGACGCTCGAGCTGTCAAAATACTGATGGCGTCGTATGAGCTGAAAATGGTGTCATCAATGGTGTCAATAGCATTTTTATACTTTTGCCAATCGCACCCCTGTAGATAGCTCTCGACAAGCTGCAGCGAGGTTACAGAGCGCCAAGAACCGGCGCGTTTCTCGATTATATTACCTTGGTTACACGGGTGATCTTGATGGCTAAACTTCATATGCTACACATGCTCGAGTATCTGCATGGCTATGGTCGACCACTCACTGCCGAACGGCTGAAGCGGCTCCCTCATCCACCTTACTCGGTCTACAATATGGTTCCTAGCAGGCTGATTGACTCTTCTGTCTGTACCATAGCACTATTCTCCAAAACTTCCCCAAAAATCCCCGATGCTCTCTCATCTTCTACCTCAGCTGTACACGAGTGCCAAGCCGGCTGAAAGCAGACCCAGGAACGCAGATCTGGCATTTCTTAAGGCTTGCCATGTGCCGACGCAGATCAAGCTGAGCAAGATCAGCGTAATCCCTCTCGTGATGGTCTATAAAGTAGGGTGATCGTCACTCCTAGTTTCGCGAAATGGCTAACAGGCGGGCTTTCAAGGCCCGCACAATGCAACAAATTAGTTCCCGAACTTAGATAGCCTAGGAGGGCAGTAACGTTGCCCTTTGGAATTTTCGGATTTGGATAAGAAAATAGGGCGCCTCCGTGTCGCATCGGATCAGAGTTGGAACTGTAGGAGCTTTCACAGGAAAAACAGCGGATAATATGTTCCCTGGCTAGTTAAGAGTTACTAACACGGCCGCTTCGTCACAACTTCACATGTTGGCGCTGGCCCAAGCTGATACCCATCTCGCGCCCTTCGGGTAATAATGCACTTCATCTCAAGGAGACAACTGGATTATGAGTAATCATATATTAAAGTCTATGATTTTTTAACATTTCCCGACGCGTCGTAGAATAAGACACCTACTGTTTACAATATTTTCTAAAGCTATATCATACATTTACTAGCTATCCCGTTACCTATCAAAGAGTATTGTCCAAATAGTGTAATGGAGCTTTCGATCTAGTTAGTGATGGTATAACAAACGAGCCATCTTTATTTGGCTAGGTACTTATCAGAAATATCCCCCCCCCGTGGTATTGAAGTTACTAATGTTTCACCGGTAACTTGATATAAGCTCAATATTAGCCCATTAAGTTTGTTTGCCAGCGCCTTACAATGGGAATTATTTCAGTTTCGCAGTCTTATTAGTTATCAATACTGCCTATTGTGTTAGAAACACACAACGTAAGTACCACTCAAGCGTATAAAAGTGGGACTCAGTGTAAGACTCTTATATAATTAATATTCCAGAGTTTAATACTCCGTAATAACTCCTTCGCATATGTTTCTTTATGAAACCCTCTCAATCTCGCCGTTATGGAAAAGTTCCATGATAGAATTGCTAAGCCATAGGATCACGAGGTTAAGTAAAAGCGTCGAAAGAATGAGGTTGTCCTGAGAGAAACCTTAACCCTAACTACAGAAGCTCGTAGTCATGTATACCGAAAGTATCTTGTATTCTAGATGTCTCATTTAGAATCCTTACATATACCAGGTTTTCACAAGTGACCGTCTTATACTTGAAGTGACGACCTAGAATAGCTCCACGACTGGCCTCAGCAACTGCAATTATATGAAAACAAGCTATAGCAAAACAGAGTCGCTTTTGTATGACAAGTATAGCTTTGGTTTATATCGTTTTGGGGCTTAGTATATAAATATTACATAGTAACCATCACAACAGTCCAGCCAAGGGATTACAGCAAATTCAAGACGGCCTCGTGGCGCAACGGTAGCGCGTTCGACTCCAGATCGAAAGGTTATCCGTTCAAATCGGGTCGGGGTCAGATATTTTTGCTGTTGGTGTGTATGTTCGTGGGAAACGTGGATCGGGTTTTAGTGCTTAGGTCCAGACGGTCTGACAAGTGTATGCCCTCAATTTAGAGCGCAAACACTTACCTGTCTAAGTGGAGTAGCCCTAAACGCCGTGTGCCCCGAGTGGAGCCGGATTCCGGCGCTAGGATACGCACACGTACGCGCGCGACTAGTCCAGGGCCGTCTTAGACGCTTAGGTTAACCTCCTTAGCCTTTACCGAGCAGTAGTTTGAAGCAGATTGTCGGTGTTATTTCTATTAGCGCTCTGGATATTATCAAAGGTCTTACGTGTCTTTGATTTGTTTGATGTAGAGCAGCGAGATTTAAACTACCTAGCAAACAAGCTGCGCAAACTTCACCTTCTCACTACCTATATTAGTGACTTGCTTGGGCGTAGGTACAGAAGTTGCTAAATTTCTAAGTTCTGATACTAATTAGAAGTATATGTGCTTTAGTATGAGTGGCTCTTAGAGCCTCATTGATTACGGTTCTATTTAAATATATGGTAAGAAGGTAGACCTGTAACCTTCGCTATGAACAGCCTTGATGCTCGACTGTTCGGTTGGATATATATACCAATAACCAAACTAATCGGATGATAAAGCCATGCCTAAGACACTTGTCTAATTTCATATTAATAATTCGATCCGAGCTGCATACCTTCGTCGACATGGAGGATTATCTTTTCGAATATAATCAAGCCTTTTAAATGCCGAAGGATTTGGATTCGGGTTTAAGCATATATAATTTCTATATAGCCTTAGTTTAAATACTAAGGCTGGCGTGGCAGCGGTTTTCAAAAAATAATTCTCTTAACTATAACAAGACTTAACTCCGCTATTTCTTTTTGAGAGATAAATACAGCCCGGCAACTTTCCACATACGCTAAGGGCTGTAAGCTACCTGCCTATGTGGGTGCGATCGTCGGGTTTCCGTGCTATAATCGTGTTCGCATTAGTTGATGTGAATGTTGCGTCCCTTTTAAGATAGAAAAAGTTTAGGATTTGAATCCTCTACGAAAAGGTAGGCTGCAATCGTTGACTTGGATGTTTTTATCGTACATCTTATCGTTTCTCAATTCTTCTTCTTTTCTGGAATTATGTACTCCTTTCAATTTTAGCGAACACTTCTGATTTTAGGACTACCTAGAGTAGGTTTTGTCTTTCCTATAATAGTATACGAGCGTACTTTTCTTTTGGATCGGGATATCTTGCTGCAACTCTGAATAAGGAGTTCGTTACTTCGGCTTTGCAACTGCAATAATTAAATAAGCGCCTTTCCACGTAACTAACCTGGTCACTTTGACATGTCATATTATAATTGAGTAATTTTCCGGGAAAGCGAAAGGTAATGATATAAACCCCGTAACACTGTAGGGTTATGTCGTGATCAATAGCCCCCAAATCTACACGCAGTGGAAGCCGAGAGGATGCATACGTAGGTGCTATAGGTAACCTAAGGTAAGTAAGCAACCTTACGAATCAGGTAAACTTCCCGAACTCGGCTGGATCTTCGGTTCCAAGCGCGAAGTTATGTCGCGGTAACATTCAACCTTTCCATCGCTGATATGCTCAGATGCAAGGTTGAACTCGGGGTGCAACCCCCCGTCTCTAATATTATTTCTTCAGCATCCTCAACTATACCCTCCTGTATGAAAGTCGATATTTTGAGCATAGGGAATTACCGATGGCGACGACAATTCTGTATCGTAAATATCTCAATTAAAAGACTACTACATTACATCATAACTATATTATTCTAATGCTGTTTCGATGCTTACTGTGTACCAAGCGTATTCGTAGATTAAGTAAGCAGTCTTGACTGGTGCGTGGAAATTATTCTTGACAAGATGTAATATAAGATTCTTACGGCGGCAACAATTCAATTAGAAAGTAATCAGATAGGTTTGCTCGACTACTGTGTACTTCTTTCATAAATATGGCTCGGGATGTCGGATAGTCTTATGTATGCTTTGTAGATCATATTTTCGGGATGTCAGCTACAAGACTATACCCCGTCCGATTACGAGCGGACTTATACCATCATTTTAAAATCGTACGCGTCTCGAGATCTTCGGCACAGTGGAGCTACATCATACAAGATTAGCTTGGTCTATCACTTGCATCGCTACCACTCGAACTGGGAAGCAGAGCACTGTTCTCTCGGGAGTCATGTCGGCGGGTTTTATCCTCGTCGCGGCTTTGAGGGATTGCCTTTGGCTTCAACCAAACTGCCGGGTCAGGGACCTCGATCATCAACTTGGCCACCTTAGCCACCTTGGCAAACGCTTTTGAAGCTATATTAACCCGTTAAATTAGACTAAAAAGAAGCTCGCCTAGGGATTCTGTCTAGTTTAGGTCTGCGCTACGGATCTCATATCCGCTGTTAGGCAGGCTTGGACTAAATAGCTTGATTCGGCGCCACTCGCTCGGGAGGTGAAGAGGTCCCACAGCGGACGCCTTTCCCCAATTAAAGATTTTCACGCCGGCGAAATTTTATTACCATAGTACATACGCCACGAAGCATCGTCAATGGCTTATTTTCATTTCTTGTCCAGAATCGATCCAAGGCGGTCATACGAGAAGGACACCATGTAGGACCGTCAGCTTCGGAGAATGTAGAGCAGCTCGGATTTTAGACGGATATGAACTAGATGCACCGTTGGATGGCGGCAGCGCTGTAATTGGGTGAGACGGTTGCCTAGATATGTTCAAGTGATTGTGAGGGGGGGACACGCTGTTGGGGCCGAGACGAGCAAGATCAGCAGGGGAATATGAGGGTACAGAGGGTATTAATAAGGCTTCAAGCCTAGCCATGGCGTTTTCCCGCGATTGACAAGATTGACAAGATTGACGCGATTGTCGTTCAAATACGAGAGCCTCACCATGCAAGACTATGCGCGCTGGCAGATGCTGGGCAGATTAGGTACTGGGTAGGCACGGACAGATAATGGAGACTGTTGCAGATATTAGTAGATATTTGCAGCACATTTTTTTCTTTTTTCTTCTATATTTTGCAGTATTCCGTACACACCGACAGAATCTTGGGAGTGAAAAATCGGAGCCCACGATGTGCCAAGCCTATAAATTCTTATGAGCACCTATCAGTATTATAAGTATAAATGGGGAATGTGGCTCGATTAGGAACCCGTCCCAATTTCTTTGATTAATGTGTGCATTGTCCTCTGCCCATCACTTGTTCCCATGGTGGCCCATCACACTTGGCTTCTCCGAGAGATCGTCTTGGAGGGTTTCTCTCACGGGCGAGGTGGACACGACCAGGAGACGCAAACACCGCATCCGGTCCGTTTATCCCCAGAAAAGCTTTTATTACAAGCTTATTGCAAGCCTATTGCACAAATCTACTATCGCAAGCGAGCAAGCCCGCGCTTTGCCTGTTCGTCGAAATACCTACCTCACAATAAGCATACATACATACAGCATACAGCCCAATATTCCCGCACCCTGCCAACCGTCTTTCGGTGATCGACTTTATTATTTCTGATGTGTCTTTTGCTACCACGGTTCTCTCTTTTTCCATCGAATTCCATTCCTGCGAATGGGGATGTGATACGATATCGGCCGAAAAGGTATCCCACGGTCTTGGCTGCGTCTTTAACATCTAACCCTCGCAGGGCAGTGGTCAGACTCGGTAGGAGCCGACGATGCCGAATAAGACGGGCATTCTAGGCGAGCACCACGTGGTAAACGTGGTCAGCTTCTGTCTTTGGCACGCCTGTAGCATATTGGACGGGACATGCTTCCTAAATAAATTCGACCTAAACCTGTAGAGTTACCTCTCTTGCTATTCGCTTAGGCGGCAACCCATTCCACCTATTCCCTGCCTAAGCTGCCTGCACATATGCAGTGTATGTATGAACGTATATACATAGGCATGCATGTATGTAGGTATGTATATTTGCCTAGCTTCTCTATGTACTTGGCCTGCCTGGCGTTACCCGTCGCGCTATTGGCAAAGACCCTTACATAGTATTGTACAATACATAGTAGTACTGTAGTAGGCAGGTGGTGTTGTGGGTCTAGTCCGCCAGCCATCGTGAAGTTATTGATGGATCGTGCATTAGAGCCAAATTGAGATGGATATTAAAGTTGTTAATCCACACAGACGATCCATCCCTCAAGGGACCTTGGACCTTGGACCTTGCTGAGCAACCCCCCAGCATACAATTTCTAGTCTAGCTTCCCCAGAAACGGAGGGGAGAGCCGTCACTTTGAATTTATTCTTCCATCAAACGCATCAAATGTACAATCTTCTCTTCGTCGCCTCAGCCACAGCTACAGCTTCAACTTTTAATATCTAAACACTCCTTCACGTATTCATATTCCCATCCCAATAGGAAATCTAGAGAAACACCGAACGTAGCATCCCAGTAGAGTCGTAAGTTGAGCCGACCCACGCCTCCGTCCCATCGCCTAGGAAGGGAAAGAAAAAAAAAAAAAAAAAAAAGGTCTTATCTGACTTGGCAACAATAGGTGCACCTAATCCGCCGGCCATCATAGCATACATACATCCTACCCAGAGGAAAACAGCATATATATCGACAATATGCAGATGCATACGTGTGGCAACTGTGGAACCGAGTACACGACAGGCAGCTGTTGGTACTGCCATCCTCAAAACAAACCTCAAGTACCTATGCCTTTGGTGACAACACACGCGACACATACCCATTAAGCGGATGAAGCCGTCTCCGCGTTGATATAACGGGAAGAGAGCGTGGGTTGGGTTAAAAGGAAAGAAAAATACGACTTTCAATACGGGGTCCTACGGCCCTGGGACCAAAATCACTCGTTTAGTCTCCTCAGAGACTCCTTTACGAGACATGTTATTTCTCCGTTGCACTTTTACGTCTTGGCTCGCCCGCTGTTCGGTTTGGAACAGCACACACATACCTAGACGTCAATTCGAGCTTTGGCGCGACGAATCTGCAACAGGCACCGGATTCCCTAATGGATATCAGTGCTAGTATCCTTTATTTTCATTTTAAAACTTAGAGGCCCCTGGGAGCGCCTCGTCGGCCTCTGCTTCGAGGTCTTGATTTGCATTTGATGGCCTTCTGGCTAAAGCTTTACGAAGAGATGATCAGGGGGTTATTGAGGGATTATCAGCACCTCGGAGACAGTTGGCATTTTACCGGCGTTATATGATATCACTAAAGGAACGGGCATATCAATTGAGGAAAAAATTTTCACGATTGTTCAAACAGAAGCATTAATTCATTAGAATCCACCCCGGGCCTAGCATGCGATACCTTCACGATTAAGAATGTCAGGCGCATCATACTAAAATAAACTCTTTATAGCTTGTGTCTACACTCTTTGAAGTACTGTAGTATCGTTATTGCTTAATTCTAATAGAATGGTATTATTATCTATTATCTCAATAACTATTACATCGTGATATTAAGCTTCAAATCATTAACACTACTTTCGGGTTAGTATGGCGATACTGTATTACGATTCAGCACTATAATGAATATCTAATCAATATCTACCATTGTTATTAATAGCGTACGGCTCATAAAATTGACGGAGTGTTTCCCGTAGCTTAGTCAAATTCCATAGCCGGATGCGACTTAGACTGATCTAGGCGCGGCATCTATTGATTACGTCGACAAGGCAATATAGTCATACCCATTCCAGCATACCGTCGTCAGGAACGTCGGGACCTCAGCATCAGAACGTCCTAAACACGATCCACCCAACCGCGAACCCGCATGAAGAAAAGACGTCCGAAAGAGTAATATAACTTGTAGTCCCGAAAAGGGCGAATTTTTCTATAAATAGCGCTTCTAGACCAGACCCTGATATGACGTTCTCCCAGAATGGGAATGTGACACGTACATACATACATACATGTATATGTAGGTACATACATATATGCCCATGTACCGGATTTCCACATACATAGGGCAGACCCCTATCCGGTGAGCTTCGAAAGCTTATTTCATTTAGCCTTTTTGGCCCGATGCCCTCCCCTCCCCCGTGGGGACGGGGCTCCCACGTATCACGGCAGGAAGAGGTGGGTGGATGGATGTTTAAGGGGACAGCGAATTCGGAAGGCTAACCCGGTTGAGTACGTACTCTGTAGTAAGGGGGACGTCGTACAGGCTATAGTATACGGGTCTGGACTTTTGTTGACACGGGTCGGAGGTTTACATACAGCAATAGTACATCCCATGTGTGACTGGTCGAAATTAGATATAAGTCATGAGTTGGAATGCTAACTTTCCAAAGCCATGTATATCACAAATTTGTCCAGAGTAAGCTCTGTTTTGGGCCGGAATATTGCTATTGCTAATTCGTAAAGAGAGCCTTGGCTAGCATGTATCATATTAATTACGAATGTTGTGTCACCTCCGAAAGATACTATGTATGGATACTATGTATGTCGTGCCCTGGCAGCTTTATGTGGCCCGATATTATCGTGAGATAAGGTTGCCAGGATCACGTTACTTATAACAAAGTTCTAATGCAGTTTCTTAAGTGCGAAAATTGCTCAGTTAGTCATCCCAATAGATCCCAGGAGAGGGTGTTAACGAGATCGACTATTTTAATCTTTGATTCACCTCCATCCATCCTTCTGTGCTTTTCCTTTTCAAACTTGTCTATCCTCTTCTCGCCCTTCGAAACCTTGCCAATTTAGTGAGTTGGAGGGTCTAGGGTCTATGAAGATTCATATGTAAGCAACCGTAAGATAAACAAATCAATGACTGCGGGTCGAGATTCAAAAGAACATGGCTACAAAGAGCTTCATTGGGAAATATTAACTAAATTTATATGCACCTAAATATATAATGGCACAGTGAGCTCCTGAGCTGATCCGATTCTGTCCCGGCTAATAATCTCAACTGCTATTGCCAATGAAATAGGTATATACGTATGTATGTGAGGTAATTAGCACAATCAAACCGTTACGCTCATACCCTTCCCCATCTCCGCGATCCTGGTTCAAAGATCCCGACCCGGACCCCGAATCCAGGCTCTTCGTATCCGTGTGACGCGGTCCCGGCACACATCACCGCATATGCAACCGTAATTAGAATCACTAAATAGCCCCAGTGATATGTATACAGTAACCTAGGTAGTGATTGCTGGAATTGCGTGGTTCTATATCCAAAATAAACCCTAGCCAAGATCAAGATGTCGAGCCCACACTAACGCACCAAGAAGCGAACCTATATTAACGAGCCTATCAAGCGCGCGCAAAAAACCATAGACAGGCGACCCCTAGTGTCATTCGGGCAAGAACGGGTTCTCTAGCTGCTTCTCGACGTAGACGGCGGTGCCCGAGACTGAGACCTGGATGAAGCCTAGAACCTCCTTCTCCTCGAAGTCCAGGCCGACAACGGCGTTCGCGCCGCGCGACACACAGTCCCGCGTCATTCTATCAACAGCCTGGTCCCGCGCGTTGTACATGATATGCGTTAGACTCCTGACCTCGCCACCCGCTGCAGCCGCCTTCAGTAGGGCCTTGGTGTCTTTAAGCGCGTAAGTAGTAGAGCCGTATACGGCGCCCAGGACGCGCGCAACGCGATAACCAGGCAGCGTCGGCATCGTAGATGTCAAGATTGATGGGACGGTGCAGTGAGGTTCGTTTTCTGGCTTCGCGCTGCCGAGGGTAGGCGGCGCGCCGAGATTCGGGCGGCCGTTGCCGTTCGGCGATATCATCAATGTTGAGCGACGGTTAGTCAGCATTTTGGCGGTGAACTTCTAGCGAAGAAGATATAGGTATATATATGTAAGGGGTCGTCGTTAATGGCGATACACCAGGACGCGGTCCTATAGGCCAATTGCGCAAGCAATTATGCGCTTTGGCAAAGAGAAAGAAGGAAGCAGGTAGGGATGATGCCGAATCAAAAAAAAAAATACTGTGCAAAATGCGAACCGAATAATGTCGATATACCCCTAAGCAGATCGATCTGCCCCAGAGATCGAGTGAGTTTTATCCGATCAGGAGGTAAGTACCGACGTCATTATTTGGGTGAGGCCTCACGAAGCGAACGTAGCAAGAAGAACCGCGTCCGCTTGAAATTTCCTATCGCCTGAAACGCGGTTTAGAACGTGGCACGAACTATCGTCTGGACATGCCTCGATCTTCTTCTGAATTGCCTTGCGTGCAGGGATCACCCACAGGGTTCTGCAACGCGCCAAGGATCCCCTTGCCATGGGCGAGACTCGAGGCGCATACAGATACCGGCCCAGCGTGACGGGACTGTGACCGCATTGCAGACTGCAGACTGCAGACTGCATGATAGACCAAGGAAGCAATGACGTCGTTGATGATCGAGGTGTTTGGAATGGCAACACCGTGTTCATAAGAGCTAACCCACCCACGGGTAGAGTTGCGTGGAAAGGGGCATGGTTAAATGCCTCGATTATGCCTTTTTGATAGTCTGTTAGAGAAATGATACAACTTTAGAAATTCCCACCGCCAGCCTCAGCCTGAGTTTGGGAGTTTGAGACTATGATTATCATGGTATAGCTAGGTGTCATGATATAGTAGGTGACACACCGTCATGGTGAGCTAAGAGATCTTGACTGTTTCCAAATCGATTGGGAAGATTATAAATAATTATAAATAGAATGGTAAATTATCTTAATATCCCCCCCCGTCCCGTCCGCCCAGCTAAATACGAAATGAGGTTATTCAAGTCCAAATTCTCTTATTAACATGGACAGATGGAATCTTCGTAGGGCTGAGCTGAGTACCTCCTAGGCTTATATAAGATGAACCCATTTAGAATCTCAATCAGGAAGATTAGCTTAGAATGGGCACGGACCACATATTTGAGTTTCCTTACGCTTATCCCTCCAATTAGATCGCATCATTCCGTAGTCTGGTGGCGTCGAGCGAGATTTGTCATTGCTCGCGGGAGTTACGTTCCAAACGTCACCGTTGTGCCCCTCCATCCGCACTTTGGTGTGAAATCAAGAGCCGCATTATGCTACACTGATAGCACAAACGGGAAGGAATTGACCCGTATTACTTACCCCTCAAGATAAATACAACTATCTCAAACCTATCTCCAATTCAGCTTCATCAGTTTATGACCATATATATCATCAATCGCAGTATATAACCGTGTCCGTAATTCTAGTCGCAATCGCAGCTGTCACAATAATGGCCTTTACGATGCCTAACTTCGCATCGCGGCTCTTCCGACCTTTCATGTCTAGTACGCGCTTGGGGATAACCGCCGATACGCACGCGGGCACCAACGGAACGTCCGCAGTCCCCGAGGGCGCCGAGAAAGCTACCCTCGCTGCCGGATGCTTCTGGGGCGTAGAGCACCTGTATCGTAAGCACTTCGACGGCAAGGGCCTCTACGACGCCCGTGTCGGCTACACCGGTGGGGATCTAAGAGGTCCGACCTACCGTGCCGTGTGCTCGGGGCAAACAGGCCGTACGTTTCTCTCCTATCCCTTCTCTTTGTCTTTGTCTTTGTCGTACCCTTCTCTCTTCTCCCTACTTTTACATATTAACTGACGTGGCATCGCAACCGCAACAGACGCCGAGAGTGTACAGCTGCACTACGACCCTTCGCGCATAACCTACCGGCAGATCCTCGAGTTCTTCTACCGGCTACACGATCCGACGACGGCTAACCGCCAGGGCCCTGATGTCGGACCTCAGTACCGCAGCGCCATCTATTACCACAGCCCTGAGCAAGAGCGCATCGCGCGCGAGACCACGCAACAGGCCAGTGAGCAATGGTATAAGGGCGCTATTGTTACTGAAATCGTGCCCGCTGAGCAGTGGTGGGATGCTGAGGATTACCATCAGCAGTATCTGCATCATAATCCTTCGGGCTATGAGTGTCCGACCCACTTTCTGAGGACGTTCCCGCCGCTGGAGTGATGTGGAAGTCATAAGCAGCTGGTGTAGTTTACCGCGTCATGTCTTGTAACGAATCTAATCATCGTGATACTAAGTCCTTAACATGGCTAGCTGTGCGATTTTAGAAACATGTTGGGAATGTCGCAAAACTCGGTACTTGAGACATATTAGCATATATGGGCCTAGGAGGGATAGACGCCAAATGATTCGTGTAGGCTTCAAAACTGGAGGTTGATACTCTCCTCATATACACGAATAAGCTAATATTAATCACATGTTGGTTATAATACGAACCTATAGACACATTGCCCTATTCTATTAGTTACCTATCAAAAAAAAAGACCTCCTATGACCTTAAAACGCCCACCCATGCATATGAATCTCGCTTTATCGAGGTTCGATTAGTGGGGACATCTCGTCCCCGAGTCTTCGTGACGATGATACCTGGGTGTGGTATTCTCTCGTCAGTAATCTGCCTCGTCCAGCGGATCCGGATCCTCTATTCGACCCGTCGCCGGATTGCAGGCGTGTCCCGAAGACCAGCTAGTGTATTTTTCTTTCCCGCTCATTACTCGTGCACTCCATCCGTAATTGCGCATCCTCTCTATATTAAGCTCGCTGATCTGCGGCCGATAATCGTGCCTCGACGTTATGTCCTCAAATCTCTGACATATATCGCCGTTGATAAGGTCCCGTTGGATCTCTCGGCACGGTCGCGCGTCCCTGTGGCTGTCCCATTTCTTACAGAAGTCAATCTTACCAACATCCAGCCATGTTGTTAGGATAAAGCCCCAGTTGAAAGGTTCCGGCAAGGAGACGACATCGATGCTATAATCAGTCGTACATCTGACACAGCCTGAAACATCTCCCAACAGCATAGGCACGTCCATCGGATTCCATTTCGTCCCAGAGGATAACCATTTCAGTCTTTCGCAGATCATGTGCCCATCCTGTTTTGATACATCGAACGACTCGTTACTAAAACAAGATGGCAGATGCTGCACCTCAATTTCGCCAGTATGATCGGCGGTGCAGAAGGGCTCGATCCACTGCTGTACCATCGGCTCGTAGATCGTATTCCAATTCTGATGATTGCATATTGGATGAACCTTGGGCAATGATATAAACGTGTGAGATGGGTCTCGTAGTATCTGTCCGAACAACCACAACGACAGTACTGATTTATCGATGGAGGAGACCACTTGCTGCTTTTTAAGAATTAGATCATCCTCGCGATATCTTATGCGTAGGGAATACTGAATCATGAATCCCTTTTGATAAGATGTCTGTGTATTATTAACTTGCTGTAATAGATGTCTATATTCAGCACCATGAATTCGGCGTTTTGTAATAGTACGGAGCAACTTCCTAGTTGCACGCGAAGGCATATGATGCTCCATAGACCAATCAATACATCTGGAGGCTTTCTGCGGCGCAAAAGCGCGGTCTTTGAAGGTTAGGAACGGATCATGGAGCTTTTTGCACTTGTAGCAGTAGACCAGGTCTAACAAGTCATAGTCTAAAAAGCTAAGCAATGTCCCTCGGATCTTAGTCTTATTAGAGCCATCCGTTTTTTTAATAAATGCGTTTAGAGCTTTATATGAAGAGACTTCGCCGGGGCCTAATAGCTCAAGCTCCATACACGAATGCAAGAAACGTGACATTAGTTCTTTATTGACGAGGGCCAGGCATACGATGTTGGTGTGGGTGAGGTGGCTGGTTATGTTGTCAAACAGCTCCTGGGGAAGAAGTAATAAGCCAGAAACATTCCGCTCGGATCGATTTTCTCCAAGTGAATGAGTTATGCTAGTCTTCAGCTTTGGAGTATCGCTGTTGGCGTCGCTGATATTAGTCGTGGCGGCGCTAGAATCAGCAGAGCTGACTGGGTTGCCGATAGACGACTGATCATCATTATCAATAACATCATTAAAATCCCCTCCATCGTCGATATGACTCTTGCGCCGGTTGATAGATAATATCTTCAAGATATCCTGCATTCGATGAGATCGCCTCAACTTGAGACAAGCCTTACTTTATCAAATGGTCAGCTCTCAATTAGTGACGACGAGACAGAGTAGCTTACTCGAATAATGATTTGCTATTAAACGGGGCCATATTGTATAGCTGGTATAGAAGAGGGCTCCATTGATTGATTGGAACCTTTTTATTTTTTCCTTACAAGAAAGTGACAAATAACGAAGATAGATTTGACCTATACGAAAAGTCAATACGAACTATTGCGATATTTAGGTACATTAACGTGCTGTGGTGTGCGTAATTGTGAGATATTGAAAGATGTAGTTCGGAGAGGTTGTTGAGCGGCGTAGAGGTAGGTGCCTGGGCTTTAGGTAGAGAGGTACCTATTTAATGTACCTAAGCCTATGTAGGTTGAGAAGAAGGTCGGACTTTAATTCAGGTCTCAGCCTCAAATTTCAATAGAATTCCGGGGGTTATCGAATTAGCTAAACCCCTTACCCGTACGTACATGGGTACCTACCTAGCGGTGAGTGGTTGGTGACTCTGCTGCTGATGCGCGTGTTTGGATTATCAAGTCACCCGAGAATATCATACTACCAATCAATCTAGCCAGGGGGCTGTTCGCCTATGTAGTTCTTTAGGCTGAATCCTTGGCATGTAATATCGAGATATCTTCTCAACCACATACCCATACATACGATCCATATTTGATAATAGTTATTCCTAATTGTTTTACTATTTTTATTCGACTAGTTACGCTAGTTAATACATTCGTATAGTCCTAGACAATCCTTGCGTGGCCAGGAGAGGGGAGTTTCCATTCTGCCTCTGATACCCAGATTAAAAGCGAGGCATTATCAACCTTACACTTAAGCCTGACCCCTCCTTTCATCCCATCATGACAGCATGCCCTGCTAACAAGTCCTTATCCTAATCATCGCCCGATTACTTCCTGCGGTTCTGCTGCATCATCAAGATCTGGACCATCCTGATGAAAATGTTCAAGAAGTCCAACTCGAGCGAAATGCTCTCGTTGACTGGGTCCTTCTTGATGATACCTCGCTCAGCCAAGCGGGAGTGGTAGAGGATCTTCTGCACATCGTATAGCGTGAAGCCACCAAAGACTGCCAGACCACCGTACAGCCAAAGGTTCTCCGTAATTGCTAATGTTCGGACGGCCGTAACCGGTATGATGAGCGGGGCAAGACCCGAAACGGCAACGATTGCAGCTCCGGCAAGGAGAGGGCCACCAATGTACATGTACTTCTCTTGCTTAGCGGTAGCACCCACGAATGAGATAGAACCCATCATCGCGACAGTATAGAGTCCGGCACGAGCGATCAGAGCACCGGGAGCGAAAGCGACAAGAGGGGCGATGAAGGCGGCCTGAGTAGCATTGAACGCAATCCAGAGGGCGTACTTGGGGACATAGCTGTCTTATGTTAGTTATGAGTTGATTTTTTTTTCTAATGTAGGGAATCGAAAGAAACTACTCACTTATCAGGGTCGATAGCCCTTGTTCCGAGCATAGTGCCAAAGCTGAGAGCCAGACCTCCAATGGCTACAACCCACGGGTTCGTCACCATTATTCTGTAAACGAAACCGCTCTGAATCATCTGCCGCGCCGTGATACCGATAATGCCGATACCAAGGCCAGTATGAAGGAAGGTCTGATTAAGGTAAGATCTCTCGAATGGTGGCATACCGCCATCCTCTCGGGTCTCGCGGTTGAAAACGGCGTTGATTGCGATTAGAGTACCACCAAAAATTGCGCCACCGGTTAGCAGTCGGCGGATCGTCGAGCCAGAATCGGTCGCGGGGGCAGCAGGCTGCTGTATGTAGGTTCTTAACGATTTCGTAAATGCATTTTTTGGTGTAGTCCGCGACAGCTTTGATACGAGCGTCGTTCGCGATGTGAAGAAGTTGGATGGTCTGGTGGCGGACTGATGGAAAGCTCGGGCAGGAACTACGGTTCGAAGAGAGGATTTGGAGATCTCTGGCAACCTGGATGCCAGGCGCGCAGGTCCCTGGCGGAGAGTAATCGAGAAGGACATTTTCGCGTGCTTCACAGGTAGGCGGTTATGAAAAGCGACAAAAGGAATGATTAAGGTTGGACGGTTTGTTCAAGTTGTGGAAGAAGATTGCGAACAATGACGCCGGGTTGATATTCAGTGGAGGAAATGGCTGATGTAATAACCCACTTATGACTGGTGAAAAATGAAAGTGGAGGCGGAGAAGGAGCTGGAAAGAGCCGACGGGTTTCTGTGGGAAGCCAACCTTAGCTTCTTGACCCCGGCACTACTCCGAACATACCTAGGTAGGTACCTACCTATGTACTACCAGGTATTTTTCTCTCAGTTATCAAGTTCCTTATCAAGTTTGTGACATTGGTGGCTCGTATACTTTTTGAGGCCCGGTTTGATTCGATTACAGCTGCTGAATATCGACACAACTTACTGAACCCACCCAATTCGGGGTTGACATACAAGCAGTAGGTAGGCATAGAAGAATGAGAGCACATAACTGGTATACATGATTATGAGAACTGACTGACTACCTCTTCCGTAAACCCGGTGCGTTGCATGTAAGCGGGCTCCGGTATTTCGAGGCGATGCCCCCTCCCTCGCAAAGCGCCGTCGTTATTGGTGAAGGCCACGATGTACGGGTTATGAAGAGGTAGAAGATAACTAAGAGGGCTCTCTTCAGTGCTTTCTCTTGTTTTTTTCTTTCTTTTCCTTCCAAATGGCTCAATATCATTACTCATCTCCAATTACGTGTTCTATCTTTGTATTCGAAGCTTTCGAAACGCTAGAGAAAAAAAAATGTCCGAGACACCGCCCTCCGTGCTTCAATGGCTTCGCCTCTCAAATCGTGATGTCTCTGACATATGGATTGGGTGCCTAGTTACTATTTCGGCCAGCACCTTCTTAGCACTTCATCTCAGCGTGAAGCCTTATAATCCTCCGGCGACCCCAGGGTCATTTCTGAAAAGGTGGTGGCTATCGCGTTTTAACCATGAATTCCGACGGCAAATACTCTGGAGTATCGTGATGGTTATTGCACCCGAACTGATGGTCGGGTTCTCATTTGGCGACTGGCGTGCGGCATCTGCAGGCTTGCATATGTTCAAGACCTTCGGAGAAGGACATGTTCACGACTGGTCCAAGATTCATGCCAGTTTTGCCAATATGGGCGGTTTCAAATTCGAGATGAAGACGGACTCGCCCAACGGTGCCCAATTCCGTTTGATTAATGAAAAGGTCTTGTTGGAAATGTATAAGAACACCGGTGTCTATAATACGACCTTCATGGCCCTGAGGTGTCTCATCGGCAACTATACCATGCCACCAACCTTGTGGCTTAAAAATACCTCTAAGCGGTCTGCTGAGTATTTGAAGAGTATCTGGGATCATACCCAAAACCTTGCAAAAAGAAAAACACCAAGACGTGAGACGTACGAGCTAAGACGAAATGAACCGTCCTCGACGCAAGCAGACAATTCGGCATCTCATATGCCAGACGAGACTACGGGTTCTATGGCAGCGTCAGCAACTAGTATTAACAACGCATCTCAACATTCAGGTACAGCTAGGGACGAAGAAACGGCAGAGCTAGTCCATGGTGAAGTAGCTCTCTATTTAAACGCGATGCAGATTGTTGTAGCCCAGTATCTACAGATTCTCGACGAGGGACCCCTACTAAACGAAGAAGCTATCGAGGACAAAAGCAAGGCCAACCCCCTATCGAAGGGTATCGCAATTATATCACTGTTCTGGTTCATCTTGGGAATATTCATCCAGCTTTTCCAGAACGAGGAACTTACTCAGCTGGAGCTCTCAACTTTTACGTATGCGATCTGCGCAGCTATTGCGTATTGTCTGTATTGGACCAAACCCCAGGCCGTCGCAGTCCCGATAGCGCATTCGGTTATGACCTCAGATACCGTTCGCTCGATAAACCATCGCGATATTCGCATTCTCAAATACTTTAGTGGCAGCTCCTTCCTATCACGAAACTGTACCCCGCGATTCTACATAGACAATAGGATAGTAGAACCGTCAGAGCCAGCCCCCACAGACGTATCTCTTACCGTGTTTGCTGTCATTGGGTTTGGAGACCAAGCTGTATTGCTATATGATGCTGATCTGGCTAGCATCGCCATGGGTATGGTATTCGGGGCTATATACTGCCTTGGGTGGAACAATACCTTCCCCTCGCACTGGGAGCAGCTTGCCTGGCGCATATCATCTTTAACTATAACAGCGTCTCGCATACCATACTCTATCGCCAAAGCTATCTGTACAATAGCATTTGGTAGGTTCACGAGCAGAAGGGCGCGAATGACGCATCCCGTGCATATCCTGGCGCTTGTTTTTCCTGGGAAGTATTTACGTTGCCTGTCGACTTTTTATGCTATACGAGATGATTCGGGCGCCGATCACATAGACTAAAAAATGGGAAGGCTAAGACGCATTGTATAGGTCGAGGGAACAATCTGATATGGCCACAATTTTCAACTCTAAGTATCTCCTCCTAAGCTTGAATTAGTTATACGGATAGAAACAGTGTAGGGCGGTATAGGTACGGGGGTTCTTTTAACTATACGAAGCCTACGGGATTGATATAGTCGGTTATATTCTCTTCCGCGTTCTTTGGCTTCATGGTCATCCTATTATTTAAAAGGGTTGAGGCTACTTTTCAGATTGAAGACAAGACACAGGTGGATATAGGGGTTTGGCATAGTTCATAAGTCAATAGAAATATTTGGGGAATATAATGAATTATTAAGCTGTTTAGCTTGGAAATATACCTAACGTATCCCAAGAGGTACAGTACCTAATACATGTACTGTGCCCTTATGGTACCTACATCATGTAGCTCGTTATTACATTGAAGCTTTTAACTTCCACGGCGGATTTGCTGCGTGTCTCATAACATCTCTTCTGAAACTTGAGCATTGTCACGGGATCTGTGCAACAGTCGATTATGTAACCAATCTTCTGGGAGTTTATATAGAAAGCTCTTCAGCCTTTCTTACCGGCATTTTCATTCGTATACCTACATAAAAATACCAAGCACCGCATAAGAACGGGATATATACCCGATAACCCGCGCTGTTATTACATTTGAGCCCTAGATATGGATGCTCTATATTTCGATACATTTGGCGAATGTCCGATCGATAGCTCTATCCCGACCGATGTCCAAAGCGGTTACTCGTCTTGTTCTGAATCAGAAGGCACTCCTTGTCCTAGATGTCTAAGAACGCGCGGAAAGCTTTGCCGGAAATGCAAACTTAGGTTGCGCGCTCGTAGTGGTGTCAAAGGGAACGCAAAATCATCGTTAGAAATCGTCTCAAGCCAGAAATCAAATATATCAGATGACTATACCGCGGGGCAGCATCTAGAAAGCTTCGGCCTATCGAAGTTAAAGATGCCGCACATGATTCCATCAGATAACTCGCTTGCAAAACATGGAGAGCCTGCAGAAGTTAGCGGAGAAGAGACGTCGCACTATATGATGTGGGAAGAGAGCAACCGCGAAGGTTATAAGAGACGAGCCAACAGAAACCTGGGTTATAACAAATGCCAGGAATGGGAGCACGTAGACTATGTGGAGTCGAGCTATAGCAGATACCAAGAATGGAGTTATAGCAAGTATGAAGAATGGCATCAACGGGACTACAGAGAATGCTGGCGCAGCCAACATGAATACCGGCCAAGGCGATATAGCGAGCGTATTTACTTCATTCAGGGAAGAGCACTACAGCCATGTCAGATCCGGTCGATTAAACTAGGCGTTGATCGCGACGAGCCACGCTACATGGCCGAGATATGGCAATATACTTCTGGCAAGCGAGCGTCAAGTACGCATTTGGTACTTTACGGCCTGCAAAGCTGCGGGATATTAACATTGCCATATGGCAGCAGAGTGTATGCTGGGCAGCGAAAGCTATACCTCGAAACCTCTACCAGCTATCATTGGTTTATATTTTCGAGATGGGCTGTAAGGACGTGTGTAAGGATTGTCGCAATTGCCTACGCACTCTATTGGTACAGAAAATTCCCCGAACCTGTGCTGGAGGAACTGGATTAGTCTCCATCTCTAAGATAGGAAATTTGGCAGGGTATACTCGGTTTAATGTGTTGGGATACGTCATAGGTGGGTAATTCCTAGAGATGCTCGAGATATAAAAATTGTATGGAATATGTAGTGTTTACGAGATAAATAGGCATTGGAGGATGGAAATGGTAATCGGAGCCTCCCCCTCCCTCTCTCTCGTCGGGGCAATACTGTGTTAACTTCATGGCCCATTAATTCCCGCGACAATAAAGATAACTTCACGTATATACGTATATATGCTAGTTGGGCTGAATGATGCGGAAAGGAAGCGGCAGTAAGGCTGATCTCGGCTTAATTCCTGTACGCCATGTAGGAATCCAGAGGTTCTTCTGAATCCTCAGCACTGGTGCTTAGGCTGAATTATAGATAACGTAGTGGTAGGTTATATCTACAACGACGAGTGCTTGCCTTTACGATGGCTTTAGGGTTTATCTTTGCTGCCGGGGATTACTAGCACTAAATTGTGCGCATGATTTCTCTTTATCTATCAATGATAGCAGCTATTTACTTAGGACTGAGACTCCCCTAGCGTTGGATAGATGCGGCGGAGGTAGATTCGAGGGATCGTATTTTCACTTTTGGGGGCACTCCGTTAGGCTGTTGGAGAATAGGAAGGGTATAGAATTTCCTGAGAGTATAGGCATTTGGGGTTCGTACCTGAGCCAGTCAAAATCTGACATATCGCAATCTTGAAATTTTCAAAACCAGCGCTAGAAACATGGCTGACGTTATCGTATCTACCTGATATAAATCTTTGTCATGTGTCGGTAGTGATCTAACCTAGAAACTAGATAGAGAATAACCTAGGTTAGAGGGTTACATTTTAATATAGACCTTCCCGTTGTAGATCGATATATAGTCTAAATAATGTGGGTGGTGTATGTGCATCTTTCACGCCTCCAGTAAGTCAAACCACCCTTACTGGGGCCACCCTAGTGGGGGCCACCCATTTCCCATACAAAATCAACGATTTCGCATATCTGTATTTAATTCAAGAAAATAGATAAAATTATACAGTCTTTGATTTTGAGTACGGTATTGGATTTTCACCAGGTATAAAATTTTGAAAAAATGGCAGGGCTAATATCTGTGGTGAAATGAATACAAGAGTATACACTAACAATTACACATACAAATTTATATGCAAAGCTGTTAAGGGATATTATTGCTTATAACTTTACCAATTAATATGGTATAAATGTAGAATCTATATCGTTAAATAAGGGACGTTTTAATACAACTTTTAAATCTAGGGCCAATTATATAACTTATTTATCTAAGAAGTTATAAGCGTTTATAAGGTTTTATGGTAATTTGATGAAATTTCCATATAAAATTAAAATTTTCAAAATTTTCAAAATAACATTAAAAATACACTTTATTATTTTACTATTAAAACATTAGATTTTAAATATTATAAAATATACATAAGCTATTATAATGATCGCAAAGTAAAACATAAGAGATTGTATATTTTTATCTATTTTCTTGAATTAATTATAGACATGCGAAGTTGTTGATTTTGTATGGGAAATGGGTGGCCCCCACTAGGGTGGCCCCAGTAAGGGTGGTTTGACTTAGTATTGCAGCCAATACTCTTTAGTCCTCAAATCGCGTATAATCCCAGAGTCCTTATACCTACAGCTATCTTCGGCATTTGAGAAAGTTGAGTAAATCCTACATCACCATGGATTACTTACCGTACGCGTCTACTAAGCACCATGGGTGATACTAATACCTAGGAGGGGTAGTGGGGAATAGAAGGGCGCTAGAACTCTTCTCGAAGCTCACCCGAGTTAGGCTATCTTCCTGGCCGTGGCCGTTTGACATGTTTCGGGAGGGCTTCGAGAATGGTGACACTACGTATGTAAGTACATACATGCTGAATCGCCGACCAGGATTCGATCCACCGCATCTCCCGATTGCCAGTAATCAAGATCTTCTACTTAACATTGGACGTCATCTACTTCTATCTCATGGCTAATCAATTGGTCTAGGTTAAAGTCCTATGTTGGTATTTCCAACTAACTAACAGAGTTAGGCGTCTTTCGTCTGATGCTGCATGTATTACCACGAGCCTTTGCGCATTAACGCTTGCTAACATAGGTACTGATCCTACAATGGATGGAAGGCGTGAAGAGTTTGCCTTCTGAATTATGCTCGCCCTATCCGGATCGCGTTTTTCTTATGTCTTCATAACATCAAGTATATAAATAGACCTGTACGCAGGCTATACGAGGGGAGTGGTAATTAGCATGCTTACTCCGAGAGGGCTGTTGGGTGCTTCCAGTATCCGGCAGCTGTTTCAGTATATATTATGGGCTTGGCTAACAAGAATGCGACTACTGCATGTAAGGCGCCCTTGGCCGCAATTCTGGACTTTGAAATCGAAGCCTAAATGCTCACGTAGGTAGGTATCGCAGGTCTTACGCCCCTAATATGGCTAAGCATTACGGATACGCTGTCTGAGAAGTAATTAGAAGTAATCTGGAGTAGGCTAGGTTAGTTAACTCGCCAAGGATTTCTAATCATAGCAATATCTTCGTAAGGCTAACGGGAAGAGGGAACAAGTCCAATGGATTTTGGGATTCTGTCGTAATCATGTTTTCTTATAACATCCCTGCTCTTTTGTGTGTTCTCTTACCCGAGCTCTCACGGCTTTCCTGTAGGTTAGGTAGTGTATGTAGGTACCCAAGCGGAATGGTACCTTGAAAGCTCAGACTGGTATAATCCTAGTAGCCGTGGACCCTACAGTTACTAAGTTTAGTAACTGAATCCTCATCAAGGGTTCCTCATGTAGCCCGTGCATTTCAGGGGTAGTTCGGTGCCAGTATGCGCCCCGTGCTGGGAGCTTCTTTGTCCACGGAATCCTTCCATTCGATCTCCAAAAATCTACAACGCATCATTGTCATGAAATACGTACACTACAAGACAGGGCTAGGGCAGGACGAGACAAGAGAAAAAGCAGCCAGAGTAGGCAAAGTTGATGAAGAGGTCCCACACTCCCCTCACATATCGGGGTAGATCTGCATCAGCTCGACGTGTTTCACCTCCCGTCATTTTTCTGGCCCTACAGCCTCGACACACAACTTTTCTATACCGTCTTCTCCGCGCTTTTCTTTGCTTTAGGTAACGTACCTGTTATTAGGTACCTTCTAGCAGTCAAGCACCTAAGCACACCAAGCCCAGCTCCGACCGCCCTGGGCTGCGGTTTTCTGCAGCTGCACGCGCGTTAAGTCGCATATGACAAAGAGGACGACATCTTACATTATCTACATGCACATCATAATTTGGTTTCTCACACCAAAGAGAGTTATCATACTTCTGAGCTAGCCTTCTTGCCTTTTTCATCTTTAAGTTTGTTTTTGATATTGTTATTCTTGTTTGTAGCTCTAGTCGGCGTGCTCCCCCTGAAAGGACAGAGGACCCCGGAACGTTTCCCTTCTCTCATTTTTATTCTTACATGCGAATGCGTATGTATATACGTACTGTCTTTGGAAAGTTGCTGTATCTCCAAAGTACCACGAAGTAGAGCTTTTGTCGGCGAAGCCTTGCGCCTCATCGACGTTTAGCGTATTGGTTTAACAAAACTGCCTACCTACCTTGGCGTAACTTTCCGCTTCCCCCCTTCTCTTCTCTCCGTTCCATCACGGGGCAATTGAACTTCAACAGTCTGCCTACCCACCAGCCAAGCAATTCAAGCCAGGTTTTACGTATGCAATAGATTGTGAGTTCTATACCAATTCCATCATATATCTGAATGTTATTCGAGAGACTAGAATAACCTAATATAGATTTGTATTTAGAATCAACTCCGAACGATCTCCGTTAGTAGAACTTCTCGAATCGGACTTATTTCCTATGCACGCGACTACGCTCCCCGCCATGTATCTTAGCTTCCTGGCTTGATAACTCCCTCAGTATCTCCCGGCAGCGCCACTCGAGTCAGCTCTACTACTAATGACGCCGCGAGCTTCTTTAGCGCCAGAAACTCCATCTCATAGAATCAGTTCCGACGTATACTTTAGCTCCCGAGCTTCCGCTCTAGTTTCTTTCAATATCGTCGCTCCTCAAATGACAGATTAAGGAGGTGTAAAGAGAACCCCAATAAAAAAAAATAACGTACCCCGTATTTGGCGCTGGTGCCGCATGGGTAACCCGCGATTTCTCGGCAGGGTATAGCAGGAACCGTTCCTTGCCTAAAGTGCCAGATCAAAGTTTCCCCTCAATTTAGAGAGACCAAGGCGATCTGAGGTCATTATCTACTATCTGGAACTGTTCAAGGGCTGTTAAGGGGAAAAGAGGGAATAATCGTTATTCGGAATCCGAAACTGGCGGAATAGGGAGCTTGCATATTATAAGCCTTTACACGAGGACTGGCGAAGTAGTCATGAGGCGGAATAGGGTGCCAGGCTCTCCGCCTTCGCCCTATAGGGCCCTGGCCCACCATCCGGCTAATGGCCAACCTGCCGACTCCGTCTCCCTGATTAGGTCGTTCAATAGTGAGACCAACCCGACCCGGCCTATACGACCCTCCCCACTTACGGCTTCGACCATCCCTGACATGCCGCTTGATCTCCTCGATCGCATGAGATCCTTTCCGCTCTTCATGTCAGCTCCCGAGGAGTTTCTAGTAGCCATCGGTAAACATCTAAGGCCACAGATCCATTCCGCGCACGACCACATCTTAATGGAGGGCGACGAGGCAAAAGCGATGTACTGGCTAGTTCGAGGAGTCGTTGGGGTAACCTCGCGGGACGGCGAGGCTGTATACGCCGAGCTCAAACCGGGATCTTTCTTTGGTGAGATAGGCGTGCTTATGAATATGCCTCGAACGGCGACCATTGTCGCGCGCACGAAATGTCTACTTCTTGTACTCAAGAAGGAAGATCTCACCCTGGAGCTGCCTGGATTTCCTGATATGGAAATGGCTATCAGACAAGAGGCACATGAACGTCTGACCATTCTTAACAAGAAACGTCAGGAAAGGGGACATAGCCTCAAAGTTGCAAATGGGTCGGCGGCCCGAGAAGCTGCTCCCGGCGAGGTATCAACTGGAGATGTTGGTATTATCAAGGAAGGGACCGTAGTAAACCATAAGAAGAGAAAGTCTCCTAGTCCGGGAGGGATGGAGGACCCAACAGCAGGAAGTGCATTGGGAAGTGGTCTCGTAAATGTGCGACAGACGCTTAAGGAGCTACCCCTATTTTCGACTCTACCTCCTGATATTCTTCATTTCTTAGGGATGAGCGCGCAACCTAAGACCTTTCCACCTTTCACCGATATAATCCGCCAAGGAACTTCCGGTAACGAGATTTTCTTCATTGTGCGGGGCGAGGCGGAGGTGATCCACGATGCGGCCGAGGGGCAGCGAAAACGGATAACACGCTCTTCTGTGATAAGGCCACGCCTCAGACAAGGTCAATATTTCGGAGAGGTTGCCAGCCTGGGTCTTTCTGTCCGACGAACTGCAACGGTCAGGTCTATCACAGCCGTCGAATGTCTCATGATTAGTGGTGAGGCACTGGGCGAGCTATGGAAACGATGCCCGCCAGAAATAAAGAAGCAGGTTGAAGACACGGCAAGGACACGGATTAGACCGGAAGAAGATGTCGAGATGGTAGACGCGGAGCCGATGCGTAAGAAGGGCTCTGTACCTCTAGCCCCTCTACGGCCTCCGCAGGTCACGTTCACAACACCCTCCATACCCGCTTCCCCGGTAAAGGATGAGTTGGATCAGATGGAACCAAAAGATCCTGACCCTTTTTTAAGTGTTGATATGGAAAATCTAAGAAACCGACGGCGAGGGTCTCTCGCGCCACCTATACCACCGCCAAACGAACCGCCTAGCACCCCGACAACCAACGGCTTACGTCTACACAAGCTCAATACTAAGTTCAATACTTCTACAACTGTCCAGTCCCCCTTATCATACTTCTCACCCGATATAGAAGTGCCAGCAAAAAAAGCCAAGATATTTCCCAGCCGGTCGCAACCCATCCAAGACGCTCTGCTTCCCGACGATATCCTGGTGACGATATTCCAGTTCCTCGACCTAGCCGAGCTCATTCGGCTAAGACAACTCTCATCCCACGTGCGCAGGCTCCTAGCTACTTCGCCGAAATTATGTACTCACGTGGACCTTACGTCCTACAACCGCTTTATAACAGATGACGCCCTCATCAACATAATCGCACCGTTTCTCGGGCCGCGACCGATTTCGATAGATCTTAGCAATTGCTTCCACATCACGGATGAGGGATTCTCTACGTTGTGGAAGGTCTGCGGCAAGCACGTCAAGGTCTGGAGGATGAAATCTGTATGGGACGTCTCGGCCAACCAGATCTTGGAGATGAGCGACAATGCTAAGGATTTGGAAGAGGTCGACTGGAGCAACTGCAGGAAGGTCGGCGATAACCTGTTAGCTCGAGTAGTCGGCTGGGTCGTCCCGGATCACCCTCCGCCGAGCGCAAAGCAAATTGCGAATTCGAACCCCGCCGCTGCAGCAGCGCGCCTCCGAGCCCAGCAGCGGCCACAGGCCCAGGCAATAGTCCTCCCGCCTCCCGGCACCATAATCGGTTGTCCGAAGCTCAAACGTCTCGACCTATCCTACTGCAAGCATATAACAGACCGATCAATGGCGCACATGGCAGCGCACGCCTCAAACCGGTTAGAATCTCTAACTCTGACCCGATGTACCTCGATCACGGATGGTGGCTTCCAAAGTTGGGCCCCATTCCGATTCTCTAATTTATCCCGCCTCTGCCTCGCCGATTGCACATACCTTTCCGACAACGCGATCGTCGCCCTAGTCCACGCCGCCAAAGCCCTAACGCATCTCGACCTATCCTTCTGCTGCGCGCTCTCGGACACCGCAACCGAAGTCGTCGCGCTGGGTCTTCCCGGCCTACGCGAACTGAAAATGGCGTTCTGTGGCAGCGCTGTGAGCGACAATAGCCTCGCGTGCGTCGCGCTGCACCTCAACGACCTTGAGCGGCTTAGCGTGCGCGGGTGCGTGCGCGTCACGGCCTCGGGCATCGAGAGCGTGCTGGACGGGTGTGCAAACCTCGAGTGGGCGGATGTGAGTCAGTGTCGCAACTTGGAAGGATGGATTAGGGGCGGAGGGGTTGCGAGATGGGGGTACGATGAGAGGGCTGAGATTGGTGAGAGCGGCAGTAGGAGGGCGAGCGGGATGCAGAATACGGATTATGAGAAGTCCGGAGTTGCATTTGTGGTTGAAAAGGGGGTGGGCGCACTACGTTGAACAAGACGAGATGATGTTCGATATCGAATCTACGTTGCCGAATGAAATCTTAAAAAAGGGAGGGGGCTGGCTTGCATTACTTACGGCTTTGGCGATCTACGATACGATACTTTTGCGATGTTTGCGTAACTTGTATGGCCGCTGGTCTGTTTTGGATCTCGACAGCTTGTGATATACCCCTGCCACATCACATGTATGGAGTTGGAGTGTTCGATTCGTTGCTGTGGGATCTCCGTCGCTCAGACTTTGGTTGCGTGCTACATTGTTTTCGATAGGAAATGTGTGTCTATCTGACATAGGTACCTTATGAATGCATATTTATGTATTACCATTTATGACGTAGCTTGAACGAAGCTGCTCGAATTTTAACTACCTCAAATAGAAGGGTAGCCTATGGCTACGTGAAAGAGAACTTTGGTATTTCAATTCAGTATTATAGTGTTAAGAATGCTTGATATGTTTACCTATGGCTTGGATCACCGGATTTTATATTAGACCGTCGTTTACGCTAGGGTTAGTTATATAATAGTACGATTAGGCTTTGGTTATAACTACTATACTTTAGATCCGGATTTATATCACGTTATCCTGCTAGTTAAAGTCTAAATGGGTACCTGTTAACAACATATTGAGCCATTTCAACTTCATGATACGAAACTTCGATTGTCATGCAGGACATCTTCTTGCAAACTTGCTATTGGTTTTTCTATATCATTTCCATCGGCTTATATTAATTTTAAAGGATGTTTTAGTAGAACTTTTGTTATTGGACACTAGCTCCACATCCCGTGTTATTAACCAAATCATCAGTAAAAACAATTCCATATTGTAGGCAAATCCATCAATTGGTATTTATAATAACAACATTCGTCTATCTATGGCTTTACTCGAGATATAAGTGCCATTCCTCGGTTAGCTGCTGCGCTAGTATTCAAGTCTAAGACACCTAGGCTCGAGCTATCATAAGACTTGAAGCTCCCGATGTCTATATCTAAACGCCAGGAAAAGGGGACTCCCAAATAATAGTTTCCATCTTGAATTCCTTCTCTTACTGCCACTGCATTTCCAACCGAATACTTTACTATATATAATATTAGCACCGTACTCTGCCCTATAGGTTCAATTTCGAAGAAATAACTTGACCTCGTAGAACACAGCGCACCAATTGTATAGCTCTTGAGGTTCGCGCTTCGCGACTTGACCTCTGGTGGCGTGACATTTGATCCCGGTTGATTGAATCTCCACCGTAGTATGAACCGCCCGGCAAACTGCGCCTAATGCCATACACGATACCGCCTCGCATGCCTCTTCGCGTCCTCCCACTTTCACTCATATCGGATGAATGACATCACCGTGGATGACCTTGTAGTCCACGAGTCCGTTCAGCCGGCCGTCTCAAATTGCGCTGGCTGCCTGCGTGGTGTACCCTACTCCAAACAATAAACATAGGCATCTCACGCCCCATGCAGGGAATTGTGTCTAGACTGCGGGGAAATCTATCGGCTGGCTCTATTAACCAGGCACATGGTTTCGGCAAGTGTACGAATATCTTCCCAAGTCGGGGTTCGGGTACTTTTAGGCTAGCAAGGGTAGGTGACTAAATGGTCGACGAAAGGATCTAACACGATCCAAGAGAAAATGCACCACCGTCAACACGTTTTCCTCACCTTCACCCCCCGTTCCATAGGACAGCCATCCTACCTATATACATCCTTCAGCAGACGCAAAGTCACTTGACCCAAGAATCATGTCACGGCCATTTCAAAAGGTAGAGTCCAGAAATTACAAAACATTCCCCCCCCCTTTTTTTTTCGTAGTCGAGACTAATATAAATATAACTATTATTAGGTAATTGTCGTGGGAGCCGGCCCCTCGGGTCTACTGCTTGCGCTGCTCCTTTCTAAACATGGGATCCCCGTGGAAATCCTAGAAGCCTCGCACGAGCTAGACAAGCAGCCCCGAGCCGCTATTTATGGTCCTCCCGCAATCCCGGATTTAAGGCGTGCCGGTGTGATCGACCAGATCCGCGAGAAGGGCATAAGTCCAACGTCGATGTGCTGGCGGCGCTTTGAGGACCACAGCTGGATCACCGGCATGGACGCCGCTGCGCTAGCTGACTACAACGGCGAGGACCTGCGCATTGCGTGTCTAGTATTGGACCAACTAGACCAGTTGATGCTCGATGAGTTTCTGTCCAAGTACGACGGCAAGATCAGCTGGAACCATAAGGTCACAGGAACGGGCCAGGATGACAAGCAAGCCTGGGCCGACGTCGAGACCCCAGAGGGCACGAAGAAGATTTACGGCGACTACGTCGTCGGATGCGATGGTGCGGGAAGCCAAGTGAGGAAGTCCCTCTTCGGAGACGAGTACCCTGGTTTTACCTGGGAGAGGCAGATCGTAGCGACAAATGTGAGATGCCAAACCCTCTTCTGACGCGACGACGGCTAACCCGAAGGCATAGGTCTACTACGACTTCTCAAAGTTCGGATTCAGAGACTCCAATTTCATCTTACATCCTGATCATTTCTACGTGAGTTATCCCGATGCCGCATCATACTTACAAGAAGCGAAAGGGGAGACCTTCCACTTTGGGAAAACTAACCGAGACGCGTATATAGATGGCAGCGAAGCTCACCGAAGACGGGCTCTATAGAGTAACCTATGGTGAATCACCCGGCCTAACCTGGGAGCAAATGCGCGAGCGTCAGCCGTGGAAGTACGAGATAATGCTGCCGGGGCACCCAAAGCCAGACCAGTACAATCTCGTCACCATATCGCCGTACAAGATGCACCAGCGATGCGCGCCGTCCTTCCGCGTAGGCCGGATCCTATTGGCGGCCGACGCAGCACACCTGTGTAACCCGTGGGGTGGCATGGGAATCACAGGCGGATTCGTAGACGTAGGCGGGTTATACGACTGCCTAGCGGGAATTTGGGATGGCAAGGCAGATGAGTCGATCCTGGACTTGTACAGCGAGAAGCGTATCGAGAAGTGGAAGACGGTAATCGACCCTATTTCCCAGAGCAACTTCCGCCGCGTGTCGGACAGCGATCCGGATACCCTTCTGGAGCGCGATCCCGTCATGAAGGCGTGTAAAGACGCCGAGGATGACCTTGAGAAGCAGAAGGAGATGTACCTAAATTTCTTCGACGTGCGATACGACTTTACGCAGCATTACAAGACGGCTTGATGAGGTATAGAGATGGCGCGTTGGGGGTATATACATGTTGTGCTATTGGTGTGTTAAATATATCTGCCTCTTCATTTTAGACTGTTTAGAGTAACTACATCAAATTTCATTTTATAATTATGAGTGTTTAGACCTATTGTAGTCCAACAGTGTTGATTTTAACCCATTTATATCCTCATGTTATTATACCATTAGTGCTCGCTGTGAACCTGAATATAACATGCCACATTGCCAAACATTCCTCAAGTTCCTCAAGCAGCGACAAGATTTTAGGTGATAAAAATGTCAGGTAATAAAAGGGTTTCCGTAGCCCGAGATCATATAACAAGGTAGGATATCGTTTCAGTACCGTAAAAATATACAATAGTGAACAATAAGGCTTATAACTTCGGTGCTAGCCTCTAGCCGATGAATGTGACCCCTCGTCCGAGCTTCTGCTAATACAATTAGAAAGGGGGCTCCCTATAAACTGGCTTTTCCCCTGGATTCGAATGGTAATGTCCCCGCGAGAAGTCCGGCCGCAACGAACAATGCGCCACTCGTGTAGACCGGGGCCGATGTCTCTAGATTGGCAAACATGGCAACAATAGGGGCCATAATGCCGAATATGCGGTTCGAGGTCGCAGTCAGTGCATTGCCGGTGCCTCGGTCCTTTGTCGGAAATAGCTCGGGTGTGAAAGCATATAAGACGGCATACATAATATTACTGGTAAAGTTGTAGGCGCAGTTCCAGCCCAGCAGGCTTGATGAGTTGGTCGCAGTAGTCGAGCAATAGAGGAAGACACCTGTTAAGATTGTGCTTAAACTTAAAGCGCCTTTTCGTCCGAAATGCGGTAGTTCGACAAGAGCGCCGCCAGCAAGAGCACCAGGTACACCGAGCACGGCGATGATGAGCGAGTTGCGGTACGTGATGTAAGTTGACCCGTCGCCAAAATCTACACCGCGAGTGCTCTGAATGTATGGGAGAAAAGCATTATACAATGGGTATCTACAAGATGTTAATAAGCGTGGAAAAGAAACGCGGCCTGCTCTTCGGACTTACCCGAGACCGATAAAAGCCCATACCACCATTAGCGCCCCTGTGCTATACGCCAGCTTCCCTGTAGCAAATAGAGACCGGATATGAGTAAGATTAATGCTTTCCAACTTACGCTTTACGGCATCATTCGCAGTTGCCCTATTTTCGTATCCGTCCGGTTCGCAAGCTTTCAAATCTTCGACGATCAACGACGAGGACTTCTTGTTTCGCCGTGCCACTTCATGGACTATGCGCACTGCTTCCTTATCCAACCCCTTCCCCATGAGATACTTGGGCGACTCGTAGATGGTGAAGCAGAAGAAACGAAGAACGAACATGATAAGCGTCAGCCCGCCCATCGTGATCATGAAATAGCGCCAGCCCATATTCTTGGCCCTGGTGCAGTCCGGATCCGTCTGTTGGCAGGTAAAGTTCCCCAGCAGCGGCCACGCAATCAAGTTAGCTATAACTTGGGCAAGGGCCCAGTCGATAGAGAGGATAGTAAGTAAGTATTGGTGAGATCCAGGGAGGAACTCGAGGAAGATTGCAGAGTCGACCGGTAAGTTGCCACCAACGCCAAACGACCAAAACGCGGCGAAGACCCCAATGGCAGCGAAATTAGGCGCAGAGGCAGCTATCATCCCCCACACTGCCGTTATACCAAGAGTTAGATTAAAAGCCCATCTCCGGCCAAAGATGTCGCAGCCAAAGCCCCAGAATACTGCCCCGAAGAGCAGGCCGATGTTCTGAGCAAGACTTAGCAGCGGAGGGCGCGACGGATGGAATTCGTTAGTGATAGACGTGAATATGAGCGACGTGACGATCGGCCAAAGATTGTCGGACGCCCAGCCGAAACCTACGACGATGAAGAGCTGCCATTGGTACCATCCCATGCCGATATCCTGAATCTATAACCCGAATTATTAAGAGGATACACCAAGAGCGGGTGTTAGAGAAGAACTCGTACCGCTCTATTCAAAACTCTCGCTTTGGCCTCGTATACGGGGTCAATTGTGCCCTTAGGTATCGTACTGGCATCCCCAATCCCAACAGCAACGTCCTCGCCCAGTTGCTGCTCGGTATTCGTATTACCCTTTTTGACTGAACTCTCCGCCATGATTGGCTCGCTTAATAGGCCGACTCTATGCTAAAATGACAATAGTAAGAAACAATTGTAAGACTAACAACGCCGACCCATAACAGAGTCTGCACTAAAAAATGGTTCGGCGGTCCGTAGCTAAAAGAAGCTTGATGCTTAAATGGAACTCTGGGGAAAGCCCCAAAAGTTTCAGCTGCGATCAAGTAACACAAGCTGCATATGACGTGCTTGGAGAATCCTTGCTCATAAATGGTCGGAAACGGTCATTTTAACTCAGGCTAAGGTACTTATACTTATACATTATGTACCTTGGAAATCACCCTCCAATTCTTAAACCCCCTATATTCAATGTCCGATTTGAAAGATTGTTTACAGGGCTTAATTATTATCAAGGCTGCTAATTTAAGCCATTCCAGGCTTGCGGCGATCAAGTATTCCTAGAACAGAATGTTAAAATCGCACAATTAAAAAAATAGTTTAAGGTGGAGGTAGAGGTGGTTAATGCCACAAGATATTGGCATAGTATGATAAGCATTGTCCTTATTTCTTTTTGCCTATATGGTGTTAACTACAGATTCTACACAGCTCACAGCCCGAGGTCAAGGAAGATGCCAAATAATGATTCGACTATTCGTTGGACTAATTGCCTAAGAAGCTTTTCCAGTGCATCCTTTTCTCGAGGTGATAGGTGATGAGGAGCCTCTCATCGACTTTGGAGATTAACAAGAGGTAGAAATGGGCTCTTGAAGTATTACATATACAATCAATCTTAGGGTTTTTTTTTAATGAGTCTTTGCTCCTCCATAGATGCTGCTAGGCTATTTGGGGAAAGTGCCAATGCTGGGCCAGCGCCAGCAGATGCAGCAGATCGATGCGGCTTGACTAATCGGCGGGCGAGATCCAATTTGGAAGTGTGTGAAGATATTAGAAAAAACTTCACCGGCCTTGAATATACTTATGGTGATAGGTATATGGTGTGCTAGGGGAAGGGAAGCAAGCGTTGAAGAATCCTGTGAAAGTTCCTAAGGAGGTAGACATCTAAAACAGGTAGTAGTATCGATACATTCTAGAACGTTTCAATATGTAGTCCCCCCCCTAAACGATGTGCTACCAGAAATATGTCCTCCAAAGTTTGGCAATAAGCTTGGCGCCGGGGAAATAACCCCGTCTTAACTATGCTACCTAGATTGTCCTGTTTGTCATATATCACACAGCCATGTCATATAGTCACTTGATAGTTCAGGCGACATCCTTCATCTCTAGCTTCCAATCCTCCATATCTAACCTCCCAGACGGCAACAGGGCACTCCTATCCTCGTCCAGTCTAGCATTCCGAAACCACACGTTTGAGCCTGACTCTAGAGTTCCCAAGCCCCTTGCTAGTACGACTACTAGGATAATGATGGCATGAGGAGCAAACGTGTCAGCAGCCGGGCAGCGGTGCGGGGCCAGGCTAAACGGTAAGTAGGCCTCTTTCATGTTATCCGTGAATTCTTCTGGCAAGAACCGTGACGGCCGGAATTGCTCCGGGTTGGTCCAGATATTGGGATCCCTATGGCACTTTTCGATATCGGCTATCTTTTCATCGTAAGTGATAAACGGGGGACTCCGAGGTCCCGTAAGTACGGCACGATAGACCCTTTTTGTTGGTGGATATAAACGAAGACCCTCCTATGAAAGTTAGCAGATGTCTATTCGTAAAATTTGAGTGTGGACGTTAATGTCTGCGGTAAATAGTTATAGGTGTTGACTTACCTTGGCGAAGTTTACTGCCATCGTTCGTATATCTTTTGATTTACTGCCCTTGAAACATTCCGGCCCTCGTTCGATAACCTTTCGGAATTGGTCTGCTGTCTCTTGGTCTACGTTCCGGAACCCAGCTGAGATGAATGTCAATAAAACGACGCGCCACATCGTCTCGTAGGCCGGGATGATGATATTTAGAGGGTGATCCTTGGCACTACAAGGGAATTTGTCTGGGAGTATTTGCCGCAGTGCCACTTCGAGCACAACCCGTCCTCCCAATGGGTATGATTGCGGCGTTGTTTTCGACTGTACCCAAAGCAAGTTAATTAATTCGGTCGCGATGTCTACGTCGTGAAGATTGACATTATTGGGATCCACGCCGAAGAACGCATGTAATATCGAAACGAACACGAGCTGTCTAACAAGAGCAGCTAAGGGCAATGAGTATCTTACGCTCCGATGTTGGAGTAGAATAAGATTTAGTGTTGTAGAGGCGGCATTGAAAAATTTAAGCCACTTTTTGGGCTTTGTCCCGTGTAATCCGGGTCCGACCTTTTGTATGAATCTCCTGTAGGTGATTACACTTGTAGTTGTGAACGGGTTGTCGATCCCGAACGCATCTAGCAGTCTTCCATTGGGTATAGCTCGGGCTATGAGCCGGTTCTGCAAGCTTCTGTCTTGGAGAACTCCGAAGCTTGCAACTGCTCTATGGTCTGGAATAGATTGCGCATTGTTACTTGGAGAGGGTCTTTGCTGCTTAGTGAAGAAAAGATAGTACAACATTATAAATATCAGTGCGAGAAACCAGGTGCCCAACCCGATCTTGATGGCAGCGATAATACAATAAGTTAGATTCATTGCTACAAATTTTACTCATTTAAGAACCCACGGAAAAGAATTATCGTCAGCGAGTTACTTTATATTCTCGGTTCCGCCTGTCAAAGCATATTTGACTTGCTACCTCAGGTCCCCAATCCAGTCTCGGGCAGGCACCGTTTCCTATGTTGGCGTTGAACAAAACAAACGGCCACCCCTGGAATCTGCCAGCAGCGTCTCGGCAGCTTGTGTTACACCCATCTCGAATCAGCGAGATGATATAAACGAATGGGCCGCTGGGAATATGGGACTTCAATGCGTTGAATATAATTGCAAACAGGTTTTGACCAACTACATTTCGGGGGTTTTACAATAAATGAGACATTAGTAAACATGAAGTAGAATAACTTACCTACCTGTCAAGGTAGCTAACTTGGTATTTGCATATTTTCCCATATCGTAAAATGAAAATTTGAATTTATTTTAAAGTTAAAAAAGCAAGAAAAGGGGTAGTCATATCGAGAAAAAAAAATAGGTAAAAACACAGACAAAAGGGGTTGATAGGTAATTCCACCGCCTCTAAGTACATACATATATGGTGGTCCATTCAAGCTGCCAGTTGGCCCCTATCCCAATGTGTCTTTACGAGGTGACGTATGATTTTTGTATTTCAAGAGATACGTACGTGATTGCAGTGTTGATTTGCCACGACATAGCAGCCACTCAATCAAAACCCTGTCGTGTATAGCGGCGCAGTTATTACTATCTGAAGAAAGGGATGACTTAAAATTACAGATCTCAGCTTAAAATTGAAACGAATATGCCAAACCTTTCCTTAGCTTCATACATTAAATAATAGCTACTTTTCCGTCTTAGTTAGCTACCTGCCTAAAGCTTTAAGTCCTGTCATGTATTAGATGGATGATACGACTACATTCGTCGTACACTTAAGGATAGGCACTTGGGAAAGGACAAGAAGTGACATGTTAGATAAGGCTGATTTTAATCTACCACGATCTGTGCCACACCTGAGTCTCGACTTTTTATTCATAACAAACAGCAGCATAGCTAGAGACACACCTACAAAGGCATAGCTCAAATTGGCTGATAGAATATGCGTAACCCTCATTGTTATAGATAGTTGATATGCTACCACCGCATATAGACAGACGGCCGACAGTGAATATGATATTTACGCATTAAGCTATGACATTTTTGGATCTAGCTTGAGGATAGCGCCAACGTAATCTCCCCTATTGTGTCGTATTTCCTCAACCCAAGGCTTCCGGGAAGATAATCGCATGGTAGAGACCAAGGTCCAAGGTGAGTTGTCACCTACCGTATTGTGTTTAGTCCTCTATGAAGTATCTCCTTAGTATTACGATATAACGATGAGCACCCACCAAACGTCTAAGCAAGGCCTTCTAGAATTCATAGCGCTAGAATAGCAACGCATATGTATAAATCCGCTGGACCCTTGGGTATCCGGCAGGCGGAACGTTCCCCGAACCCGTCTCTATGGTATCTACTAGTCTTGTAAGCTTTCTCAAAACTCGCTCGCTCTAGTTCCATTACGAAACATTTCGAAGAAGAAAGTAATATCCCTATAGCCGAAAAACGCCCCTTATATGCATGCAGCGACGCATCTTGCCTAGTATCTGCCAACCCGTTCGAATAGACGTTTTCAATCCTGTCCTCTCCCTTTACCACCTAAACGCCAGCCTAACCTGTAAATGTTATTCGTGATGATTCCTACGACCCTAGTTTGATCCGCTGCCTATTTCACCTTAGGGGGCTTTGCGTCCTGTCCCGTATCATTTTGAGACGAAAACTAGTGCTCTTCATGTCAAACGCCTCCGTCTTCGGGTCCCACCACGCGGTGACGTCGATTGTGATAAAAGCGCGCGGGGTTGTAATTTCTACAAGCCCGGCCACGTATATCGCTCCCCGCGGAGGAAAGCCGCCGATGGGTCGCCACGTCTGTAAGAAGGTTTGCTTAAATGCAAGCCATGGTCCACTGGTATGTTCTTGCGTAGTCTTGATACCGTATATGTCTTTGGCGCTCTTGGGTTTGCCTGGCTCGGCGTTGGGGATGATTGGGACCGGACTACTCACCCCCGAACCGGAAGAAGTTGTCGAGGACCTGGGATCTGGTGTTGTTTCAGCAGATCTTTTCTCGACAGGAGAAGTCGGGTCCGTTGACGAACTACCAGCTGCCCGCGTATTTGCAGGTGACAGAGACTTTGGGGTTTTAGAGTTGGGCTCTTCGGTCGACTTCTTCAGCTTTTCGACGGCCTGTTGAAAGGAGGTATCCGGATAAGTAGGCGCATATCCAAATAGCTTACCAAAATTCGAAGCGTTCTGCCTTAATAACGCCCCCGAGAAGCTCCATAATGACACGGTGAGCGTACTTGGCCAAAGAGCACGTCGCACTTGGATAGCAGTCACGGTATCGACAGTCTCCTCTGCGATATAAGTACCGTCGTCGCCTATTGATATTCTGTAAAGAAGGTTTAGACTTCAAAGTTAACAGCGCATCGTTGGGGTGGAAATGGGGCGTACCCTTTCCGAACGAACGTCGGTGGTGGCCGGGATGGGTACTGTATGTCGAGCCAATACCGTCCTAGTTTCATGTTCCCGCCGCATCTCCGGAGAAGCATGGGATGTGTTGATGCGGTTTTGCAAACAAGATCAGCGAGTCCGCCTACGGTTTTGTCAGCCAGTGTTCCTTTCCTCCCCCTTTGAGTGTGTAAATTAGCCTACTCTGAATGCCCCTAACTTTCTCTCTATTCTTACTAACCCTGACAAAGGCTTGCCACTCCGGATCGGTGCTCTTGTAGGGTTCGGACGGGACCATCCTCATGGTAAAGGGAAGCGGAATGAATATGGGATCGTATTCTGCTTCTTCCATCTCTTGCCGTTCCGCCTCAGTTAGGTGCTTTTCTTGATCGTCGAGCCACCTACCGAGGGTACTAAGAACAGACGACGTATATACTTGGTAGCACATATAGTAGATGCACCCAGCGACTATAAAATTCCTGCGCGATTCAACTTAGCATTCGTGGCGACGACTGAAAAGGCGGATGATTGACGTCGCATACATTGGCTTGAACCATTTTCGCCGGATATTGACTCTATGCACATGGATAATTTGAGAACTGGGCCGATTTGACTGGTTAGCCCTTGCGGTAAGGGAAAGGATATTCGGCCGCAATCGCAGGAGTCGCAACATGGAAGGCATTGCAATCGAGGCGCGCCCGGTATAGACGGCCGAGGAAGGGGAGAAACGTGACAGTCTTCTACCGAGGGGTGGACGAAATGGTTGAGAATTATTCCTTAGAGGTTACCCGTCTTCTGCGTCGCATCGATCATTTCACGACAAGCCTACATCGAAAAGATACTTGAGAGGAGTGTCGACGTCTAGGTATAAGTTATAAATTAGCGAACGAGGCAAAATACTAGCTTTTACAAATAGTGATTTAGAAAAGCCATGGAACATGTGCTTCTGCACTGGAAGTTCGAGACCCTGACTTTCTAACTTTCAACTTTCAATACGTACGTCGATCCCCACCGTTGAACTGAAACAGTTATAACGCATATTCGTACTGTGCCACGTGCATTCGATATTGTCTTTGTTATACGTTAGGTACATACAAAGGTATCTTATCATATTCATATATCACGTGTTGATTGGACCAGTAGTCTCCAGATTATGCATATGCATTCTTCGGGGTTTAACTAGACTCTCACGTCCCTGAGACGCAACAGCGTCACATAAACCCGTCTTCGTCATCTCCATCACATCAATAACAGCTTCGGGATCAACCAATCTCGACGAAATGAAGCTACACAGCTTCTTACTACCGGCATTAGCTGGCATTGCCACCACCCGCGCCGAAGGCCAACAACAGAATGCCGAGGCCTACATCATCAGGCAACAAAAGACCACAACTATCTCGAATCCTCCCTCGATACCAAACGAACTCGCCCGAGCTATCCTCCTCCAGCGCCTTAGCACCCTAGAGCAACCCGCATCTCTAGGACAGCTGCCCGAGTCTCTTTCTCAAGATGAATCTATATCTTACATCAACCAGTTCGGAAAGGCACCCCGGCCACTGTTTGGAGAGATCAAAGACGCGAACGAACCTCGCCAGCTCGTCATTGCTTTCTCCGGCATCACGGCTGGTAAACGTGAGGGCTTTAAGGGCGCCATGCCACGTGTACCTCTCGCCTTCACAGCTCCTGGACTGAGCCAATTACCTGTTGCTGGCAAGAAATCAAACTGCGCGTTCGAACAATCCATCGATTCCGGTAACGAGAAGTGCTGGAAAGGAAAGACGCAGTATCTCGAATACGATGTTACCAATGTATGCACCGTCTCTTTTCGATCAGGCATATTCGCGGCAAACTGACTAGCAACAGAACAAGAACGCAATCGCACAACTGGGACAAAACATCGAGTCCCTCAGCGCCCAAGCCCTCGCCGGCAAGCTTGAAACCACCATCCTCCTGTTCGCAGCCCCCAGCAGCGAATCCGACGAGCTCCGCCGCCGAGCGGTCAAGGAAGAGAAAGTATTAGCCGAAAATGACGACATCATCAACATTCCCACGGCCGATTCCACCGTCAGCCACCCCGGCGCCAATGCCGATAAACCCTTCCACGCCTTCGGCTCCAGCCTAGAATCCTCAGCCGCCGTATCCCGTCCAGCGCCCGCCCCCATCCTGCCATCCTGCTTTACCTCGCACAACGCGTGCATCACCGCGACGGACTCGTGTTCGGGCCACGGGCAGTGCGTCGATCGATGGGGTAAGGTTGACGGGGCTAAAAAATCGTGTTTTTTCTGCCATTGCATGGCTACCAACGAGACTGACGCTCGCGGCAACATTGGCGTGTACCACTGGGGCGGCTCTGCTTGCCACAAGCGCGACGTTAGCACCCCATTCTGGCTCTTCGCTGGCGTGTCGATCGCCCTCGTTGCTACTGTTGCCTTTGCTATCGGTCTGCTATTTAGCGTCGGAGAGGAAAAGCTGCCCGGTGTTATCGGAGCTGGTGTCTCGCGGACTACAAAGTAAGGTAGATATTTCGATATATCTATTCATTGCTGGTTGACGGTCTTTGGAACGGGATAAGGAGAACGGGATTCGCGGTGGGAGTGATCAGAAGGGACGAATAGCGAAGCAAAGGACTCAAGCCGTTGTGTATATCACGTACGGCCATAATGCACATGTATCATACGTGTATCGATACCGAGGATAAACGAACGAACAATCGATCGAACAAACGGGCGCTGGTTAGCATATCTGTCTCCACCGTCCATTGGCGGTTCTGAGAAGGTTATTTCATTTTTGTAAAGGCTAGGTTCATAACATCAAGATCCATTCAATTAGAGTCGCGTTTCCTTCCGTCTTTGAAAGTGATTACCGTAGTATTCTAAGTGTTGGGTATCATAACATATTGTATCTATCATATTACATATCCATTTGCGACTTCTGCCTCACCGGCGTAGTCCCTAAGCTATCCAACCCTCTCTGTCCGGGCGTACCACCACTCCTCGCTTGATTTAAGAGAGACTGCGCAGCTACAACGTTGTCTGTAGTAGCAGTACCACTCACCATAGCATCCCCATTCTCATTACCACTACCACTACCACCACCTTCACCGTTCGCTGCGTTCGTATCAGCGGCCCCAGACATTAACATGCGGTACCTCTCGCCAGCCTCATTAAGCAATCTCTGCACCTCCGGCTCGCGCTTAAGTATATCCTCCCTCTCAGCGCGCAACTCCTCAATGCGCCCCCGCAGCCGCGCCATCTCCTCTTGCTTCCGACGCATGCGCGCCTTAAACTCCTCGACTAGCACGCTGAGATCCGGCAACGGCGTAATCCGGGGTATAACCGCGAGCGGATTACTTGCCGCGGCACCGAGACGTCGCCGCTGCTGCTCACGCTCCTCGGCTAGCCCGTCCATTCCCGCGCGTGTCTGCGCCGCCTCGTACGCGGCCCGCCGCTCGGCTTCTGAGTCGTCTGATTCGTCGTCTGAGCCCCCTTCGGCAGCCGTAATTAGGGAGGCCATTTCTGCGCGGCGGCGCCGCCGGGTTTCCCGCTCGGCTTTCTTGCCCAGGGAGAGCCCGCCATCCTCGACGAACTCGTCGAAGCCCTCGCCTAGGTCCTCGTCTTCGGCGATTAGACGCGTGTCTTTGGTGGATTTAGGCTCGTGCCGTCGCGACAAGATGGTCAGATATGAGTCCCCGGCCCCGCGGTCGTCGTCAGAGAGCGAGATGAAGTCGTCGGTGTCTTTACTTCCTTCCTTGGCTAGGCGAGCGCGTCGGGCTTTTTTCTCTTGGATCTCAACTTCGGTTAAGATCGGAGTCTTCTTGGGAGATGTTGGGTGTATTGTTGTGGTGTCTACTACTAGGGCGCCTTCGAGCTCGGATGGGTCGAGTATCATCTCGTCGTCGGAAGTAGGTTGTAGTTTAGAAAGGTCCTGGGGCGTATTCGGAGTGGATTCTTGCAGCTCGGAGAGGTATTCTTTGCTATATCGCGGACGGCCATCGTCGGTATCGTTGGAACGCATGGGAAGCCGGCCCAAAGGCAGGGTTTTGGCAATGCCCTTCTTGTAAGCGCTGTTTTCGGCTGCGGCATGGGCGAGCGTTGTAGAGCGTTTGGGTGTAAAGACTTCCTCTCCAAGTATCATGGAATCATCGTCCCCGGGAGTTTCCTCGGTAGGAACGCCAAACGATAGACGTGAGCTAGATGCCCTTTTCTTCGTCTTGCTAGACCCCGACCTTCCTCCTAGCGGCGGTCGAATTCGTAGGGGTACATCGCCATCTTCGTCGTCTTCTGCTCCCGCATTGGTATTTGTAGATACGGATTGTTGATCGGAGGCTATATCATCTTCAAGCTTATCGGCATTTATGCTCTTCCGTAGAGACGAGTGCTTAAATGGCTTATTGCGACTTGTTTTGAACGAGGGCTGTAATGGTGGTCCCTGGGGTTCTTCTGGTGGATTTAAGGATTCGGCTGAGAGTATATCTTCGTCGTCATCTTGAACCGTGATCTTCCGTGCTTTTCGCTTGGCTCCAAATGCGCTCATTTCGTATAGTTATAGTGATTCGTCCGTTCGCTTAAGTCTCCCAACGAGTTGGTTACGAGGTTCTAGATATTGAAGTTTAACAAATGAAGGCTACTATTTGCTTTCTACCCTTTGTACTTCGAAGCTAGGAATTCTTATCGATAAGGAATTGAGCTATGACATTATCTTATCAGCGTACCATGAGCTCGGGTTCTTTTCGTCCAGTCAACAGAGGTAACATCTTTCCTCCAGCCGTCTTCAATTTCCATCACACACTTAAATAAATATTGTCAAGATGGCTCCCGCACAACCAGAGCTCAAGAAGGTATGTTATTCCAGCATCCTTCAATTTGCAGCGCCATGCTTACTAAACGTTATGTAGTACCTCGATAAGAGACTGTTCGTCCAACTGAATGGAAGCCGTAAAGTCCTCGGCATTCTTCGCGGCTACGATGTAAGCTATCCAACACCTTCCTCCTCATCTACGCTACACATTTACGCGTTATCATGTACACAGAGGCTGAACTTTACCTAGGTCTTCCTGAATATCGTTCTGGACGATGCTGTAGAAGAGAAGGACGGAGGCGAGAAGGTCAGATTAGGGATGGTCGTACGTAATTATGGTACCGACGTCGCGAATACCGACACAAACTAACTGCAATATTTTAGGTCATCCGAGGCAACTCCGTGGTCATGCTAGAGGCATTAGAGAGAATCGGTGGGGATCGCGACAAATGAGCACACTGGGACACGGCATGCGCAACAAATTCGAGCACGATCCGAGTTGAATACCCATATGAAAGCAAGGCAGGTGTGCATTTAGCTAGTTTTGTTGTCCACAAAAACGCCACTTGATTCCAGGAAGTGGGCCTCTAGAGTCCCGAGGGAACACATACCACGGACGAGGCGGGATCGACAATTGCATTAAGCAGACCGGCGCTTCATGCTCAATAATTTCAGGTCTGCGATCTCTTTGAGATCGGTTACGGGGTTTATACCACTTGCTATCAACGCCAACAACGATATTTGAGGCGCTTATATTAATCAATTGACAATGATAACCCATCACCGTTTTGAATTGGCACGTAGAGAGTTCTACAATATGATCCTTTCTAACCACCACGAGCTTGCAAAGTATTTAAGGGTCAAGCAAAGTAGTGCAACATTTTCGAAGTTAAGAACGCGGTACTAAGACCTAAAGTCGGTTGGGAATCTCAAACCCAGTAAAGCTACTATTGATGACCCCTTTAATATCATAATCAAAAAGCCTACGTTATATTTCCATGTGACCAATCCATCAGATAATTTAGGGGCGAAGACGGTGATGATTGATCGGCTCCGAGTCTTAAGGGCAATTGGTTTTATCCTAAAGACAGATCTCAACCGAATGAAGCGTATCAATCCACCTAAAGTGCCGCGTTGGTAGCTATTAATTCAAGTAAAGATGGACAATGAAGGAGAAAAGGCTCATGAAAGAGGCATGAAATAACGTGGGAAAGTTAAGGGCTCAGGTCTAATCAAAGAACTATTTTAAAAGGTATAAAAATCTCACATGAATAAAAGGTTAACCTAGTGGTATGCCAGTTTGTAGATGTAGTTGTAACGGTGAATAAGTTAGCAACTTATTCAAACTGAAAGCATAGATCCATCTAAGATGATTTTGGTAACCTCAGGTAGGCAGTTATTGTATTTGCACATTCTTACATCAGAGCCGGGATTTTTAGTCAACTCTTCTCTTGGTTATCAAGTTACTCCGAGTTATTCTTTTATAGGTTTGTTGGCTCCTATCATCACCAGCAAATCGCTGAGGATCAAAGAACCTATAATATCTTCCTTGGCTTGCAATGATAGGATCTCGCAAGGTGTCTTTTGACATCTCTCGAAGAGAGAAACAAAACCCAGCATTCGAAGTCAGACCCCAGTAGCGTATTACATGTCTTGTTCACTGCCCGCGATAGGCAATGCCATGTCGGAATACAAAGCTTTTAAACATGGGGTTACTTAGTTTGGAGCCATGCTGTATTAATAAATAGGCGGATGGTGTGAATAGCTAGTTGAGATGCGGAATTATGATGTGTACTGCTTCATCACGAGACCCTGTGAACTCGGGCTGCGATTTTGAACATTGTACCTCTTGGCTAAAGTCTCATGTAAAAGGGTTGTAGTACCATACCTTTATCTTACAAGCCACCACAGCATGATCAGGATTTAGCAAGATATTAACATGTAAAAATAGTAATAACTCTGTAAATTAATATTTACAAAGAGCGTTCAGCATAATATTACTATAAATATTGGGCAGTTAAAGACTTAGAGCCGCATGTAGCTTGAAGGTCTGCCTTAAATACGTTGGTCTACGCCCAAGACTCTAGTATATATTTTTTGTATGTTATGAGCCAACAAGTGGCAAACCTGAGCCTATCTTCCAATCCCAAGATTCGAATCATGTGGGAAAAGAGTTACACATGTCTTATAAATCAACAACATAAAGGACTACACTCCTTGTTCTCACATAAAATAGAACGTTTTTATCTCGGACCTGTCGACATCGGCTCGTTACTCGGTGCGGTCACACTACATAAGTTCAAGTTGTAAAGATTGCAATAGGTAGCGCTTTCTAGACGATTACCTAGTAACTATTTTAGATCGCTCTCATAAGATATACGGCTATCCCGTATGCTATAATCGCCAAGTACTTGGGAAGATGTAATCAATCCCAGATTTTTTAAGACCTTGGAATATTTTCTCTTATAGGTGATACATAACAAAAACATGCCTGACTTATTTTTGGATATCAGTAGCTGTTATTGGGAAGACGTGAATTGTGGCGGTCAGACAGAGGCAACCAACCCGCGCCTCATACCAGGGGTTAGCAATATGAAGCACCTTGTCTTAACCTGGCTTCAGCTAAAAAGCTATCTAGGTGGTCATAGTAGTGCATGACGAGAAATTATCCGAAACGGACAAGCCATTCTAAATAAAGGTTCAAGTCGATAAAAATTTCCATCCATCGTCGTTTACCACTTACATGCCTATGTAAGATTTCCAGCCCTACCTGAAGGAGGATTCAACAACCCGGAAAGTAGCATAATTACGTACGGTTCTCATGGCCAATTGGAGGCCCAAAAGCGGTCAGCCACCTGAAAGATCTACGACCCCTACCTAGGTCCCGACCTGGGTTAGCCGCATGCCGCAACAACGTATCCGACCCAAAGGATATCGTTACTCTGTCCAATCGACGGCGTCGCCGCAAGTAATCAACCAATCACTTCTCAAACACTACAGTGTCGAAGCAAATTCACCCAAGTCCCCAGCTTCTAAAGCAGGCTCCGAACGCATGGGGTAGACTGAGTGGTTGCGCGAGCTATCTCCAATCATCATCGCAAATAGAGCGGCATCTGCGGATCCTGAAGAAGGTCGAGTCGAATAGAAGCTATTAATAAACCAATCGAACGGGCATTATAAGCGATTGCGAAGTGTGACTTTCATATACGTGCATATGTATGCTCCGCCGCTTCATTCCCCGGTTAGAACCAAGAACGCACGCCGGACACGAGTATCACCCGGGACCCGGTTTTGCTTTGTGCGGTGCGACTATTGCTTACATACTTATATCACGCAGAGGTCTCACACCTCGATGCTGACCCTCGCTTTCGAAGATGCTTGATAGACTACAGCACTGTAGCGGTATGGCTACATTGATCTCTACTAACCCACCGAGACTCCGGCTTCTCCATCTCATTCATTCTCTTCGCATCTGCATGGACGGGCTGCTGGCATCATGACTTATAACGACATAGATATTCCGTTACGTGCGTCTCCCGCAGCTCTCCGTTTGCGAGTATGTGAGCTGACTGCGTCTAGCTGCATTCATTGCGATCGACTGGGCAGGCATGACGGTTGCTCTTGTTCCGATAATTCTTCGTTTTTGGTTACGACCTATAGAATCAAAACCGCGAACAGCAACGCTCAACCTCTCCGACGGCCTCGTGCTGCTATCGTGGCTCTCTGGCATGGTGCTAATTAGCATCAACACCTGGAAGAATAATCTCCGACAGCGGTATATCCATCTTCCGCCCGATGAGCTCTACTACGGAGTTCCAAGAGAATTATCCGCCAACCTCCTCTACGTATCCTGGATCTCTCTATTCTTCATTTACATCTCCCTGTGGGCCGCCAAGTTTTCTCTTCTCGCGTTCTTCGCCGATCTGCTGCGTCTAACCGAGAACCGAGCTGCTCGCATCATGCTTATCTGCGCAAGCGTATTTGCAAGTTGTACCTTCGTGCTGCACATGGTACTGTTATCAGCATGGTGTTCTCCTGTCAGCGGTAATTGGAACATCGACGGGCATCTATGTTCTGCGGTTCACGATATTAGATCCGTGTCTATATCCACGGCTTCGAACATCTTCACGGACCTCATTATCCTCATTATCCCTCTCTTTGCATTGTGTACCATGGGCCAGGAGCGCCGGGAGATAACCAAGACACGGATAGGAAAAGCAGAAATAAGCGGGATAGTATTCGTGCTATGCATGGCAGCGTTAAGCATCGTAGCGGCTCTGGCGCGATGGATAACGTTGATGCTGGTCCGAAATGCACCTAAAGCCGACATAACTCACACCATTGACGTATGGGCGTTGGTGGAAATAGTGGCCAGTCTGGTGGCTGTCTGTCTGCCAAGCTTGCGGTCATTCCTTAGGAAACGAAGACGGCGTTTTCAACAAATTAAATAAGCACTCGATCTGCGCCGTTAAATATACCCAACTCGGCTAATAAAATATCCCTTCTTCTACAAGTGACCGTGTAGCGAAGTAGTGACACTTTTGAAAAATGCATAAAATATTCAGGGGGTGAGTATCCGAAACTCAACTCTATCATATCGAGCTCGGTCCAATGCATCATAGGGGATATATATCACTAACAAATTGTGCGGTGCTTGCGGCTCCGCACTACGGTCTAAGTGTTAGCTAGGTAAATAAATTTAAGCTTGAATGTTGGAGTGGTGGGTTTAAACGAGGGAATCAGCCACGGTGATTTCGTAGTTACTCATCGACGAACTATCCGACATCTAGTTTGAACGGGTATTTATAACGTAAATATTTTATGATACTTGTATTAAAAAAGACTCCTGTCTATAAACGGATATTCTTACTGCGATCATTTACATTATGGCCCCGGTGCCGTGATAAAGTCAAAACAGTCATCTATGAATATACGCCCAGGCCATTCAAAAGGAAAACAAAGCACAAACCCATAGCTGCTTCATCTAAGGACCGGTCTAAATGGTTCTCGTGTATCGTTTCTAGCATTCTACTACTGGAGGATAATTTCCTTAGGGAAACAGTTACTTGAAGATACGGGTTTCGAGATATACCTCTTGCGGAAGGTAGCCGTAAATTACATGTAATATTAGAAAGAGAAAGCGAAAGCGAGTAGTTGACTAGAGGAAAACAAACTAGAGTAGAGATGGGCTTCATTTATCTGACTATTCTTGACTTTCATATGCTCTGATTTAACTATGCCTCACTTCTTTAGCTTTTGATATTCAGGCAAGGCCCATTGTGTCATCCAATTCGACTCGAGGACTTCCGCCGCCGTGCATCGATCATCCGGGTTAAGAGCAAGCATAGGGCGGGGCGTGTCGTAAATAGCTAGTTCTGCTCCGGGTGAGACTACTTGACCGTACCTGTCTTCCTATATGTTCTCTATGTAGTTTTTAAACTTATAATCCCACGAGTCAACATACTTAGCACGCTCGGGTATCGGATCGCGGGTTTCTGTATAATATTCCGAGCGACTTTCCCATTTATCCCACCAAGAGCTCGGCATGTCGGTCGGTCCAAAGAGATCAACGTATTCCGGCATAATTTGTTGACAGTTTTAAGGCGGTCAGCGAAGAGGTTCGGTCTGCTTAGGAGATTTCACATACAAACACCCAGGGAAAATATGCCCTAAGTTTACGAAGGGTTATTGTGGCGGATTTTTTTTATAAGAGAATGGCGTTTAAAATAGGTAGTAGAGTTGCTTAAAATAGAAAAAAATTACTATATTAAAAAGTGTCCTTATTAGTTTTTGCAAAAAATTAATTTTAAAAAATATAATTAAATAAATTTTAAGAAAAATAAAATATTATCACGTAATTAATACGTATTAAATAAGCATTATATAAGGTTTAATTAATTAAGGTAAAATTATAAAAACGTATATTATACCGTTATTTTATATAAAATTAAAGATTTTTAAATCATTTAATATAATTAATTAATTTAATATACTTTTTTAAATATAATCGACAAGTTAATTTAACTTAAAATATTTTAATATTTCTTTATTATTTAAATTGTTAACAATTTAATTTTAACTTAAAAAAAGCTTTTAATTGCTTTTAATTATTATTAATATGTATTTTTTTATTTTATAATTATTTTGTTATTTAACTTTTATAATTATTTTACTTATAAAAGATTTTTAATATTTATTAAAATTAATTAAGTTTTAAATTTTTTATATAAATTTTTTATAAAGGTTTTAATAAATTTATTTATAATTATATTTTTTAAAATAACGTAATTTATTTTAATATAATTGTTACATAATTAATATGTATTAAATAAACGTTATATAAGGTTTAATTCATTATATTTTTAATGATTTAATTAATTAAAGTAAAATTATAAAAACGCGTGTTATACCGTTATTTTATATAAGATTAAAGATTTTTAAATTATTTAATATGGTTAATTAATTTAATATATCCTTTTAAATATAATTGATAAGTTAATTTAATTTAAAATATTTTAATATTTTTTTAATATTTAAATTATTAATAATTTAAATTTAATTTAAAAAAGACTTTTAATTATTTTTAATTATTATTAATACGTATTTTTTATTTTATAGTTATTTTACCATTTAATTTTTATAATTACTTTATTTATAAAAAATCTTTAATATTTATTAAGATTAATTAAGTTTTAAATTATTTATATAAATTTTTTATAAAGATTTTAATAAGTTTATTTATAATTATATCTTTTAAAATAATATAATCCATTTTAATATAATTTTATTAAATCTTTTAATATTTTAAAAAAGATTAAATATAAGGTAATAATTAAATAAAGATTAAGTGTATATTAATAAGCGTACGGTAAAAGAAAAGGAACATATAATATTAAAATAAGGTTATTACGATTTATTATTATTTATTATTAAGTTGTATATATGTGGGTTAATTTAAAAAATAAATCTTTTTAAGTTTAACTTTATACATGTGGTGGTATGTAATTAATTTATATAATTAACTATTTTTTATATTTTAACATTAGTAAATTTTTTCTTTTTCTTTTTTTTTTATATAATGTAATGATTTAAATTAAAATTGTAATATCTTTAAATTTAACCTTAAATTTAACTTTGTAATATTTTTAAATCTATTATATCTCATTATAAAGTTAAGGTTAAAACTAAGGTTAAAGTTAAAGCTGGTTAAAGTTAATTAAGGCTTGATATTAAAGTATCGTAATATCGTAATTAATAACATTATAAAGGTTTAAATAAGTTAAAATGGTTAAATATTATAATATTAAAGTAAGGATAAATTATTAAGTTAGGGATAAGGTTATATTAATCGATTTTATTAAGTTGAAAACGAGATTATTTTGGTTAATTTAAGGTTATTTTTAACCAATCTTAACCTTGTAATAAAGATCTTTTACGATGTTGATTTTTTTATCCGGTATGCCATCGTTTAAGTTATACCTTTTATCTTTATTATACTTATCGTTATATATTTTAACATAACTTATAACGCTTTAAAATAATCTCATTAACCGTTTATATGTAATAAGCTTATCGGAAGTTACTTATAAAATTAATTATACCTTTTATGATATTAACTCCGATGTTATTAATAATATCGGGATTAATGTTTTTTATAAGGTTAGCTTTAATATCATTAATAATATCGGTTATGTTTATAAAATCGGCTTTAAAGTAATTAGTGATATTAAAATTAATGTTTTTTATAATATCGAAATTGTTATTACTGGTAGGTTAAGTTATATTACTTATACTTAAAGCTTTTATAATATAGTTTTATATAATTTATTAACGTAAAAAAGGTTAATTATTAAGATGAAATTATTAAAATAATGTTTTAAAAAATATATACGTTTATTTATTAAAAATATTAAGAATTTATTTATGTTAATTATTATTTTTAATATTTTAAAAATAAGTTTAATTTAATTATAATAAACCTTGTGATATAATAAATGGTTTGTTATAAGCTTTTAAAACGTACGATTAACCTTTTAAAAGTACTTTATTTTTTATTTTTTAAATTTTAATATAAAAGCTTTTTATAATTTGTTATTATATACGGTATTTTTAAACATTATAAAGGTTTTAACGTAATAAATATTAATTTACTATATTGTAATTTTAATTTTGTTAAATATTATAAGGTTTTTATTTAAAACATCGTTATTAATATATTTGTTTTATATTAAAGCTATATTAAGTGGTGAATATAATGGAGGTGTATAAAAATGCGTGGTAAATGCGGATCTTTTAATTTAATTAAAAACCCCGGAATTTTAAAGTAGTATAATAACCGGGTAAAGGTTTATTATCTTTTTTCGTTAAAATTATATAATATACGTTTTTTTTATCCTTTTTAAAGACGTAAAAAATTTAATACCGTTTTTGCTTTTTTTTTCTTTATTAATTTATAATCTTTTAACTATTAATTAATATAAAAAAGATTAAATATAAAGTAATAATTAAATAAAGATTAAATATATATTAATAAGTATATAATAAAGAAAAAAAAATATATGGTATTAAAATAAAACTATTATAATTTATTATTACTTATTATTAAATTATATATATATAAATTAACTTAAAAGGTAAATTCTTTTAAACTTAACCCCATGCACGTGGTAACATGTGATTAATTTATATAATTAACTATTTTTTATATTTTAACAAATATAATTAATAATTATATGTTGCACGGTGCACGGGCCTCACAGCCGTGGGTGTGGCGTAACCGTTACACCGGTTATAAGTAATTAAAGCATTAACCACTTTTATTATATAAATATTAATTATAAAAAAAATGTGTTTTTTATATTTTATATTAAAAAAAGATAAATCTTTTAATAATATTTAAAGTATTATATATATTTAAATAATATTAATAATATTTAAAGTATTATATATATTTAAATAATATTAATAATTTTTTAATAATTATAAATTTAATTTATGTTAATAGGTATGTATATAAATAAAAATAACAATAATAATAATAAAGTAATAACAAGTAAATTAATAATGTTAAGATTGGTATATTAAGATATTTAAAGAGGGAAAAATCTATTTAAAGTTAGTTAGGTATATTATATTTTTATATTTTAATAATAGTAAATATTTAACCCTTTTACTTAATGAAATTAAGTATTTTATTTTTTTTTATTAGCGATAAGAGTATTTTATTATTAATAAAATGTTTTTATGTTAATGTTATATAATTATTATTTATTTTGTTTTCTTTTTACGATTAATTAATTGTAAAATATAATTAAATAAATAAAACCTTAAGATTTATATTGATGTATATTTATATTAGTTTAAATATATATTATTACGTATTTATAATTGTATATATTTGTAATAATTAAAGAATGAAATTATAATGGTTTAAATTAAAAATTATTTTATAAATGGGGTTGTATTAACATATAATATATTATTCCATTCCTAATATATCCTTTTTTATTTTTTATAATAACTTATGTTTAAGTTGGTATTAATGATTGGTTTTAATAATCTATTATTATATTAATTTAATATTGTTTTTAATTTTTCTACATTTTATTTATCTTTTTAAGCGTAAATTAATTTGATTATTCTTTATTAATGTTTTTATAATTTTATTTAAAAATGCCTTTATTATTATATTTATTAAATTATAATTATTATATATTTATTAAATATTATTAATTTCTTTATTTTTATATGATTATTTTAAAGTTATAAAATCAATTATTAATTTCTTTTTATTAATATTACCCATTTAAATAAAATATTAATATAGTAAAAAAGAATTTATATATAAAATAAAAAGGATTATTAAAAGGTTTAATTAGTTTAAAATAGTGTTAATAATATTATAAATAATGTAGCTTATATTAAAGTTTTATATCATTTCGTAAATCTTATTAACGAGTATATTATATGTAACGCGTTTATATTTAATAAATGATTAATAGATAATATTATTAATAAATTATATTTTATTATTATAATTTATAAATTTTTTATTATTAAATATTATAATATAGTTAATTTAAAAATTTATATTTTTGTTATTAATAAATAAGTTATTTATGAAAACGTATAAGCGTAGGTTTTAAGGGTTTAATTTTTATAATTTACCTGCCATTTAATCTTTACGTTAAAGATTTTAATTTTTTTTAATTCAGGTTTTATATATTACATTATTGTGGAATAGTTGAAGGTTATTTTAAGTTGGTAAATAAACGTAATATAAGTATTTTTTATACGTTATTTTATGAATTTTTTAATTATGTTAAATGTTTTTAAGTTTAGTTTTTCTAGTCTTTTAATTTATTTTTTTTGGATAATAAAGATTATTTTTTTATAAACCATAATTTATAATTTATTAAAATCTTTAATTATATTTAGTTTTAGAATTTTTTAAGGTTTCGCTTTAATACCTACCTTTGTAAAAGCTTTATCTTTTTTAATTAAAAATTTTATTATGCTAATATTTAATATATTATTTATTTATAAACTTATAATTTTAAATAATTAATTTAATTTTATAATTA